AAATGCATCGGAGGAATCAAAATATACACTAACTTAGCAGAACCACTGGGGGTCTAACAGCGATTCCTGCATGCCAATGCAACCGTACATGCAGCATGGTCCAACCTCGAAGACACAAGTGCCGTGTAAGGGAAGCAAGTAAGGATAACGTACCTTACTTAGACTGGCATCGCAGAGATACGAGCTTAGAGTAGCCCTAACGATCCTGACTGAAATGAGTACACGCAAAACATATATATGAAGGTAGTTATTTCAAGCAAGGCATTTAATAGGGAAGGACAATTGCAAAGGAACGCGAAAAATTGCGTTCATGACGATTGAGTTTACTAATCAAACAAAGCCGCAACTCCTCCGCAGGCAACGAAGCTCGCAACCACTTCTCCGCCAACCAATGGTTTGGTGTTCCTCACCATTTTTTACTTGAAGCTCCCGGCTTGCTCACCATGACTAGAATCCAGCACTTCAATAACTCCTTGTGGATAATCCACCTCCAGCAAGATCACTTGCCACCACAGCGAAAACCCCGAATAAGTTTCCAAGCGTTGAAACATTTAAAGTAATCAAATATCAATAGTTTTGTGGCACCTGCAACTTTAAGGAAAGTCAATAGAGTTAGAAAGGGCATTCATGTGTGAGTGGTTGGCAAATGTTCCTAGCAACCTGGAAGCAAAAATCATTGTCTGGCCACTTTAGGCGCATCTCATGGAGTCTATCGCTCCACCAGAACCAGATTTTTATGCTCAAAACATACTGTAGACTGCTGCTCATCATGATTGCGTGCTTGTCTCTATCGATATTCGTGCGTCCATTCATATGCAGTAACCAGCTGCTTCCAAACTCGCTCCACTGCTAGGCGAGCTACTCCTTCGGATCGCCAGGTCTGATGGATCAGAGGGGACTCCTCAGTGTGGACCTGGAATGCGGGAAAGCTACGGGTAGCTGAGTACTAATGTAATATAAACCCACTCAGCTCAAAGAAGAAACTCAAGCCAAGCAAGTAAGTTTGTTGGAAAAGAGCGATTGAGCAGCACAAACTTAGCTCGTCCAGGCTTCCCGATAGCACATCGCCACTCACACTAGGCATGCCCGTCATGGGCGTTTGCTCTAAAGTCGTATTGCAGGAGACACTTGAACTAGCAAACCATCCTAAATGTAACATATTCTTGAAAACTCCCGTCGAGCCACAGTAAAGATCAATGGCTCGTCTAAACAGTACAATGAAGTCCCGATATTAGTATTGCTGGCATTTTTAAGCGCCACAGCAAGCTACGTAAAGTGGCTTTTCTCGCGTTCAACAAACCTGTCCGATTTCGTTGAAGCGACGAGGACACCGGTGGTGTTCTGGAGAACACGTAGCCTGCTAAAAAACTTGGCATTCACATGGCATCGGTTTCTCAGAATAAATGATGCTCGTAATCGGGTAGCGCGAGTCCCAGAGGAATTATCATGTGGCCTGTAAGCTTCGTTGCTGCAGCACCAGCTGCCCCTTTTAAGGGTGCAGAAAAGCCGATAAATATGCCGATCAGCGTGAGGCTGCAGTTAAGCAGGGAAAGGTACAAATTCAAGTGGCATACAGGTATACTCCGATTTGCGAGTGAAAGTGTGGAGCACCTTTTTGTGGCCGTCCTCAGGATGGATGGGAATTTGCATGTAGCGTTCGCGAAGTCCACGTCTAGCGGGCTGCTAATTCGCGTAGCATGTTAAGCGATTCACCAATACCATCACTTACTTCTGATTCACAGTAATCGTGCACGGGGGCTAAAGGCTAAAGCAGAATTTTATCCTGCTGTTCTTTTCTGACATCAACACCGGGTTGTGCCAAAGATGCTGATCGAATCATAGACTCTGCCTTTTTCCAACGAATCATATGCCTTCAGCTCACTCTCATCTTCACACTATAGGAGGGTCTAGTGCCGCGGGATATAGCTTGTAGGTGACCCAGTGCTCAGCTCAATGTGATGAGCTGGACACCCAGCCGGTAGCCGGAGTGCTGGCAGCTCGTCACTATTCGGAACATTCCCGAGCTTCTGGATGCTTGCTCATTCGTGCTGTTTCTTGGGTGAATGCTGAATCTAATTTCCAATTAATTTTAGTTGCTGAGCCAAAAAAATAGGGTTGCATGCTCACACCCATCGTTTATACTGCCCTGCTTAGCTGCCTGCATCAGGGTTCTGCATCATTTTGTAAAGGTAGCAATTCTACCTCGCTTACCACAGGTGAAGCAAGTGTTAGTGACTTCACAAGAAGTTGCTCATTTTTACTCCGGAGCGAGCAGCTGCGGCCTCATGCGCGCATTCCATTGAGTCGTACGTGGCATACATACTACGACGTCATGGTTAATGAGTCCAACACAGAAGTCATAGGCCATGCTGATTGGATCCAATACTAATTTGAGAGCGCTTTTAATTGCAAGTGCCTTGCCATTCTCTGCTTTCTGTCTTCCCTTCAGCAAATCTCAGTCTTAATTACTGCGCTAAAGAGTAAACAGGCAAATAACACTTCTCTAGCGTCTCCGTCGGCGTACATCTACTCCACATTCAGTTTTAGGTAGATCTAACAATTTTCGACCATTACGGAGAGCTAGAATCCGCACAGAACTGACCTGTGGTGGCACTCCAATTACAGATCTCTCCTCCTAGCCTTCTTCAGTAGGCTGACGCGTGTGCCAGGGCATTCCGCTTCCCTGTTGCAGTTTGCTGGTCGCCACGCAACCTGCTTTCGCTGGGCCAAGTACAGCTGCTCAAGTTCTTTGGGTCTGTGAATGAAGTTGCAGTATCCTACTGTATGGCCCCATCTCCCACAATTAACACAAGAGCCTTGCTATGCGGCTATCCGAGGATACATTGAAGCCCTGCTTCCTTCCGGTTTTCTGGTCTCATTCATCTTGGAGTAGGGCTGACGCAATTTCATCATCCAATAGCTTTGAACTCAAACTTGGCTGTTTTTAAACTAAACACGCAGGATTTGCGTCCATTCGTTCCTGACACCTCAAGTAGCCCATCACTCGCGAAAGCATCACCGATTCATTGTTCAATAGCTGAATTGCTGCTTATTCTGCGACCACCGGATGTGACACTCGAGGAAGGCGTGCGACAAATTACCGATAAAGTAGCTGCTCTTCTATGTTGTGTTCGTTGAAAAACAATGCTTACATTGCTCAATATACCGACCAACTGATATATTCTTCTGCTTAGCTATCCCATTTTCCCAAAGCTGGCTGCTGAGATGATCTCGATACAAACCGATGAGACAGGGCTTGTATAAAGGCTTAGACTGTTGTAATCGCTGCAAGGGAAAGGTAGCCTCTACAGGAATAGAGACATTAGTAGAGTGCTTGCCCCTCTAACAAACACATGCCGCAAAAGAGCTCGATGCTCTTTATCTAGGAGCTAGAAGGCAAGGTACCTCTTCGACCGGCTGATGAACGCTTAGAGCATTTGCCCAGCCGTAGATTTATCATCATAATATGATCAAACCAGCCTTATGTAGAACTCAGAAGCATGTTTTCGGCGGACGAATAATGCCGTTTTACCAGGTATGAAGCATCTGCACTCATATCTGCTTGCATGGCGGATTCTACCGCCACAAGCACTGCGCCACCTGTTACTTTTACTGCCAGAAAAACTTTCATCTACTACACAATCACGGGGAAGATAATTATTGGATTACTACATTTTGACGTGATTAAACCCACGGAACTTCTGTAGGAAAAACTGACGTCTCACTGCATTCACAGCCTGTGGGTTCTCGGGGAATAGCTGCATCGAATCACACGGTGCTACCGACTGTAATTTTTCAGCTAAGGTGTCCATAGGCAGACATTTGGCCCCAGACTTGGAGGAAGCCTGATAGGAAGTTGCTCTGTGTTTTCGGTAAAACTCTCGTCGTCCGCTGCCCGCGCCCCCCAGAGTTATTAACATAACAGGGGAGGCATAACTAAGGTGCATGAGCGTAGTTGCACTATCTAAGCACTCTGAGCTGCACAGCTAGTTGCACATAGCATCTAGCCCACACGCACACAACACTGCATTTTGTGTATTTAGGTAACTCTACGCTGCAAGGATAGGAAAAACGATCAGAAAACACAAAGAGTCGGCTCTTTGCTAATTCTTAGTTAAAAGTGACGTATACAAAAGTGGTTTGGTGTAGCTCAGCCAATTACAGGTAGATGCAGTGCATTCCGTATGATGGGATGGGTCTTGTGAACATGTATAGGGGGGAATGAATGAGCAAGCTAATACACAAATATACATGTTTGGATGGATTGATTGAGGGCTTCTGAAGTACTACTGTTGCGCCTATTTTCTCCTCAATGCACCGGAAACCTTTTTCGAGCTTGTTCCACTACCGATAGGCAAAGTGGAGAAACGTTCCTGAAAAACATAATTAGCTGCTTACATTCCAGTTTCAAGAGTGCCCATGTAGTTCTATTGCTCTAGGAGGTATCAATATCTTGTAAGAATTAGTGTGTCGCACTGTTTATGGCTTCGCTATGGACTAGTTTGCTTGGCTGCATGCAGTTGTGGGCGGGTTTTCTAGTTTCATTCCTGAAAACGAGAACTCAGAGGTAGAGTTGGAGGTCATCTCACAAACTATGCCTTGTCGTAGTGCTGGCTAGGGGCTTTGTACATTTGGTATGACGATATCGTGGTACTCAGCCCCTCTGGAATTCGCTCGAAAACACACCGGTCTTTCCGTTCACTATTTACTCTTCAAATTGAAAATTGCACAATAGCTTACTCTCCCCTATCAGGTCGTGTTTAGTACGGCTGGGAGTGGTCCAATTCGTCGTCCTCTTCTGGCCGTCCCGCCATCTCGCGGGTGGTCAGTGAGCCCTTCTGCCGTTACACTGTTACTTACTTGACGCCCTCCGTCATCTTCCTCTTTCTCCTTAATTCGCATTTTTCTTTTGCTACATTTAGCGCTGCCATCTCCCTCTTCCATTACGCACTTCCTGGTCGTGTCTCCGCTACCTTACCCCATTCTGCTGGCTCCACAAAATGTCAGCTGTTGAAGACTCCCTAGCCTCTTTGAAGGCAGATGTTGCCTCATGGCTGCACCGGCTACAGCATGGGTCGGACCCTCAATCTCAAGACCCTGTGTTTGAGGGGATGGTCAGAGACCTGCTGCAATACGACGCAACGCTGCAGGCGTTGGAACGGGGGGTTCGAGTGTACATGGAGGGAGTTGAGGGTTTGTGTCAGGGTTTAGAACAGCTCAGTGAGGCGGCGGTATTGGGTTTAACCAAGAGGAGTGACAGCTGTATTTGCAGAGACGTTTGCCGCTACAGAGAGTCCATTCACCGCATCAGCAGGGCTGACGCTCCCCATGCTGCTCTGTCTCGTCTAAAAAGAGATTTGGCGTTTAATGTTCTGGAGCCGCTCAGAAAGCACAGAGAACACAACAAGCAGCTCAAGCAGCAGTTCCAACTGAGACGAAGAAGGCTCGCCGAGCTCATCATCGCAAAGCGGCATCTGGAACGGATACACCAGCAGCACCTAGACAAGGAACAGCCGCATCACGCAGAGGCGGAGCGATGCTCTGGAAACGGTGCGGATGGAGAGGATTGCGCAGAGGAACAAGGGTTGATGGATGGAATCATCCGGGGGAACCGCGTGGTCGGAGTTCCTCCCAAGGGGAGTTGCGTTCCTCAGTCTTCTTCTCTCGGCGTTTCAGCTTCTCTGTCTCGCGCATTGCAGGACCATCAGCGGAGCGGCTGTTATGATGGAGCGACCGCTGCGGCGGCAGAGGCCGCAGCATCGGCGTACACCAGCTTCAAGCAAGTTGATGACGTTTTGTTTGAGTGGCTCCAAGTGCTTGAGTGCTACAGATGCGACATATTTGACTCTCTTCTGCAGACTCTCAAGTACCTACAGTACGAGTTTTTCGCAGGGGCTGCCCATGCCGTAAATTCAGTCCTCCCAAAGAGGATGGAATTCCGGCCGATGGTGGAAATGACACCCCAACAGCTTCTACCTTTGGTGCGGCCTAGGGTTTGGGGAAGACAAAGACTACGGATTTAGGCTTTCGGGGAGTCGGTATCTATCGATTTAGACTTGCTTGTTCGTGAGAAGGATAGTTTGTGTTGCAGTGTTCAGGGTGTGTGTTTTTTGCGTAGGTGGAGTTGGAGTTAGAGGCTCGCGCCAATAGTCCTCCTGTAGACCCCTCTTCCTTTTCCTTCGGCTCCGGAGGTGGTGTATCGGCGACAGAGAGGCTCCTAGATAGATGGGAGCGAGAGGCAGCTGCGGATGCTGCTGCAGTTGCGCCTGCATCATCGTCGGCGCCAACAGGGTCCTCACCTACACATCTACCAGCAGTAGAAACGGCGGCAGCAGATGTCGACATATTGTCTTTGGCGGTTTTGACTGGCCAGGGGTTTGGGGAGAAAGAATCCCGATTGGCACTCTTGCGTTTTGGGAATGACACACAAGCAGCACTTGAGTGGCTGCTAGACGGGGGTGCAAGCCTACTGCTGGAGCAAGCGGCCCCGCAGGAGCGAAAGCAGGAGCAGCAGCAAGGATCCGACAATTCGAATTCTTCATTGGTAGCGGGATCAGGATCGGGAGGTGCTGCGGCAACGACGGCAGCCGTGGCAGCAGCAGCAATGGCAGCAAGCGGTGAGCTGGACGAAGTGCGCCTCCCGACAACACTCAAGTGGGTGCAGAAGCTGAAGGAGGCCAGAAGGAAGGAGATCCTTGCTTGGAAGCAGCGAAGAGCCGAACGAGATGCTGAGCGGGAAGTTGCCTCTGGTGATGCAGGCGGTTCTGCTGCTGGTCCTAGCGGCAGTCGAAGGAGTAGCGGCGGTGCACAAGGCAGAGGTGGGGGAAGGAGGCCAGTGGCGAGGGATGGAAATATAAGTGCTAAGGAGAGGCATACCGTTAGAGGACGGATGCATTCAGGGCATCACATACCAGACCTTCAAAGGAGCACCACTGGATCCCGTGCCCAGTGCGAAGCTGTAGAGTCGCAGGAAGACGCGAAGTGCGATGCTCCTGCTCACAGCGGCGACTGCAACGGCAAAGGCAGTGACGAATCCGCATCAGGGGGCATTTTCCCTTGTGCTGCAGCTCTTCCCGAGTCTTCAATCACCGAAAGCTCAGAACCGAAGGGGCCTCCGGAGGTGCCAGATGTGGACGAGAGAGCCACGAGGGTTGAGAGTTCCGGAGGAGTAGATCTGCTGAGTTTGAGCCCTGAAGGGGCCCCCGTAGCAGCAGAAAATACGGCTGCCGTGGGTGCCCCCGGCATCAGTCTTTTGGATTTGGAAGAGGATGCAACAAGCTTTGGTTCCGACCTAAAGACGTTGCCGCTGCCTGGCTTGTTGGGGTCTTTCGATGCGTCCAAGTGCGCGTGGAGCAGAGAGAAGGAAAACGAGAGGCTCGTGAAGGAGGAGACGCTGGCACTACGGCAGCGGCTGCAGCGTGAGGCGGAAGCAGATCGCGATCAAGGAGTGGGCAGGGAGAACGAGAGTGAGACAGTGGAAGGCTGGGATGCGTACCCAGTGAGGAAGGACTCCGCAGAAAGGGAAACACAAGGGAGTCGGAGAAGCAGCCCTCCAGAGGCGGAGGAAAAAGTGAGGCAAACAGCAAGCGCGGGACCCCTTCTTTCGGAGGAGCAGGAGAAATGCGACCCTTCCTACACAAACCTGTTGTAGGAAGGCGCTCGAGGGCTTCCGTACAGCAGGGTTATGTGGGAGGGCTAGGAGCTTTGGTAGGCCGCCCATCGCGCGCTGCAATACCAGCGTCGCAGTGTTCTATTATACTACCTGTTGAGGCCTTGTATTCTATGGACCCCTATCCTGGGGCCCCGTAATGAGGACTTTCTGTTAAAGTGTGTATATCGAAGTATCGTTTGTGCCTTTTCCCGCCTATCTAGGGCTTTCAGTATTCCATAGCACTGGCCACTCGCCTTTGCTGCCCTCCCCCATGCGCGATGCCTTGCGTCTGCTATCCGCCAGAGCGGCAGTAGGCGACTTGGGGGCACCACTGCTGGGCTGTGGGGGATTCCAACACCGAAAGTGCAGGTGCACCAAGTAGCAAGGAAAGGTCTGTGCAGTTCTTATACCCGCGTATGCTAGGCAACGCTTGCTCAGGAAACACCATTAAAGGTCCGAGAAACGACTGGACTGCCCGAAGCTCAAGGGTCAAGGCTTCAGATGCCTCAAGTTGTTAGATCGCTCAGGTCCTTTAATTTAGTCACACATGGTCATTGGGGCGGCCACCGGGGGAGATAGGGCAGTCCCTCTACTCGTGGTAATCCCGAGGAGCTTTCCTGAAAATACAAAACATGCAAAGCCCCAAACGACAATGTAACCCTGCACGGCACGAAAGTGTATCACAGTGCAGGCTGCATACTGTGGCCTCAGTGCAACACTGAGGTGTTGGGTCTGGGGTGCCTCCGCCTTACGCTGTTGCTGCACCCAGGAAAAGCTCAGAAAGATAACGAGCACCTGAAACGTACATCACTCAAGAGAGAGTCCTAAAAGTGGGCGAACAAATACGGCCTTGTGCCAACGTAGAAAGTAGGGCCTAACTGCTTAACTGCCGTGCATTCTGCAAACCCCTGAGCGAGCACACCCTGCTTTTCACCTTGAGCACGAGGTTTATGAGCGACAGCGAGAGCGCAAGGCTGTGAATTTCGTAGGTCCACCGAACTTGCAGGTTTTGCGGCTCTGGAAAGCACAATTGAGCCTCCCCCTTGTCACAGGCCCATGTAGAGAAGGCAATGAAGTGCCAGGTAATATCAACCAACGTCGCAACGGAGAGCAAAACTGCAAACTGACGAGCACTCCGCACCAGCCTCCGCATTCCAGCGGTGGTCTTCATGTCACTCTCGACGCACCAAATATGGTATCCTAGCAAATACAATACGAAGTTGAAGTCTGCCCGGCCGAGGCAAGCAAACAGTGAGCTAGGCAGCAACAAATACAGGCACAGGATTATCAGGCCCGTAGTGCCCCTGAAATTTGGCAAGTCATCATAATGATGATCACTAGATGCTGCATGCTGCAATGAGGGAGGCGTGGCCGAATAGCAATAGGGACCCATTGATGGATATGGCATGTTACTCCTTGGCGCCTCTACCGGGGAAAACGCCATCGAAGATCCCTGAGGCGCAGGGCCCCCATACACCGGATGTGAGACTATATACGCGCTTGCCATTGCTTTAGGGTAAGGAGGAAGGAAAGGGGGTTAAGCAATGGCTCAAAATAGATACACAACCGAACAACGCGGCCGGTGGTCTCGGTGCACGCCCCCAGTCCACAGCGTTCACCTTATGCATTGGGTGAGGGCTTAACGCAGACCAGGGGGATTTTTTCGATGAGTCTCGTTGGTTTTTTGACGATCGTATCAATAGTTTAGCTTGCAGGCTTGCACGGTGCTGTTGTCGGCAGTGGCTGGTGACGCGATTGCAAGAGGAAGGGGAGGTCCGTCGCCCCCTAGCAGTCTGTACGAACTAAGATCAAAGCCCAAAACTTGACCTTTCTCTGCGCTTCTGTACAGAGTAACCATAATCGGGTATGTTTTCTCAAATGGCTCGGAGGCCCGATCAGGGCACCGGACGGGGTGAGGCGAGGGTCATTCGCGCACTTGGAGTCAATATACGCAGACTTCGCTCTTCGCAGAAGTCTTCAGAGCAAAATTTAAAACACTAAAAGCCCATGCCGTAGAAGCGCTCCCTAAAAGGAAGCTGGGTAATGGTTCCTTTGACACGTGTCTGAAGGCGGCGGACGGGTCTGCTGCGGAAGCCGAAGGGTGCCAAGACAATCAGGCGGATACGGAAATTTCACAGGGTCACACAAGGAGAGTCAAATCTTCCTTTCGCTCTTTCAGTGACATTTGGCTAATGGGAACTTGCAGGACCGCGAAGGTTTCTGTTTCGTGCAACACGTGTGCGTACATTTCATGAAACCGCTTGACGGTAGCACAGCCGGCAGGAAACGCGTATGAAGGAGGGATATCTCAGAGTATCCTTTATACAGTCCATTTACGTCATTAAAACTAAACACACTTGGGATAGCGAGAAGACAAGGGACCGTATGAGCAGCTCCACTATGATGATCTGGTGATCTGCGGCGTTCATGAAATCGGCTCTTCTTTAAAGCAGACCCCCACGCACACATGTCCACATATGAACCAGCTGAGTGCAGTCCCTTATGAATTTGGCCTTATCTCAAAGCAGGTTGAAGCCCATCTGTGAGGCGATGGATCAGTGGTTACCTTACTTACAGAAATGGCAGTGAACCTACTGAAAAGCTCGACGGGACTACCTCGGCCTGCGTGTATGTGATGTGACCCTCTACTTAGGGTGTCAGCATGCAGACACTTTACTGCAAACCCAACTCAAGCTAATACAAATTTATTGAGTGTTCTTAGAAAAGCTTTTCGATCCCGGTGTGTGCAGCTCTCAAAATTCCCGAAACGAGGGGAGGACAGCTAGGCCCGCGTAGCTGCACTGTTTAAGCACTACGATCATTCATAGCCAGTTGCACGTAGCATCTAGCGCGCACTCATACAAAAATGTATCTTCTTGCATAAGTTACACTACTTTGCAAGAACTATGTACGGACAGGCAAATCGACTATTCAATATTCTACGAGTACGTGGGAAAGATAACTAACGCACTAGGGACTTAAGTGCTGTTTAGCCCACTAAAGGTGGTGTAGCAGTGTCAGGCATATATGCTCGGTTGTCAGTTTTTCAGAAGACCGCATGCGGCCTCTCTACAGCTTGTAAGACTAAATGCAACAGGTCTTGCCTCCAGTGGCAGCAGCAAGGCATTTGAGGCCTCTAGATTCACGGGCACCCAGGGGTAGGAACAAAGCCCCCTGAATCCTCATGCGCATGGGATCCTCCAGTGGTCCGCGAGCAGCTGCGAAGCCGCTGCAGGAGACCCTTTGCCACAAGATCGCCCCGTGTTGCCACTGTTGGAAGCGAAGTAACCGCACTCGGAAACCCTGGGCCCCTCGCAAAAACGTCTGCTTCAGTAAGAAGGCCTCCGTTGACTACGTGGCCGCTTGAAGAGCCGTCTGCACCACAAGCAAGATGTGCATGTTCATTTGAAAAAGCTGCAGGCACTGTCCCCGTTTTCCGCAAAAGCCCCCCACAACCACTTTACCCTTTCCAGGGGGTGGTATGTACCTCCTAGAGCACTGTGCGGCCTTTGAACGAGCGTTCCATCCTCCAAAAGCGCCTGCTCGCTTTGTTGCAGCATTTTCCAGAGCCTGAGGTAGCCGAAGCAGCAGAAGCAACAGAAACAGAGTATCCAGATGCCAGCTTGTGCAAAATTTACACTTTACTACTACCTCGAGTAACCAGCCGGCATGGTGAGGCCATGGTTCAGTCAAACTTGACACCACAGTAAGGGGCAGCGAGTCAGGTGGGCAGGTGTTCAGAGAGATGGACAAACGAACAAACATCGAGACGGACAGACGCACAGATATCCCCTTCCTCCCCACACACATAAACAGCAACAGTAGGAGACAGAAAAACACAATCGTATGCAGAGGAACAGAGAGGGGGAGAAATGAGGTGCATGAGAGTGGCCGAGAGGACTGTGAAGATCTCACAGGGGAGAGAAGGAGGAACTGCGACTAGAGCCGTCACTAAGTATTCTCTGTGCCAGTGGCAAGTCGGAAAGCGTGCGGAGAGAAAAAGAAATGCGGGATAGGAGAGGTAGCCATTTATCTCCCTGTACGCCGGCTCGAAGCTGAGAAATCATCACCACACCCATACATGGAAATACATACTCGAGCACACCCAGATGAGCATGAGCGAAAAATCCGCACGCTGTAGTAGGGGCTGGAGTTCCTGAAGTCCATCTCTCCCCGTTCCCCTAGCTGTGCACCGAAGCTGAATGTGCCAGTTCAAAGGAGGCGAGCCGTAAACTCTTACTTACCGAACTCAGACAGAGAACGGTGCGAGGTCTCAACGGGGGAAAGCGAAGAGCTGCACACAGAAGGGTGAATGAGAATCCCTATCTTGCGGCTAACCCATTTTGCTGCCTCTTGTCCCTGCTCTGTCCAGTCATGTTCAGCGGAGCATCAGGGCTTAGGCGCATGAGGCTCACTTAGTTGCGAAAGAGCAGCAACCGACACGCAGATGAGGGAAGGAGGGAGGTCTAAAGACGCAACTTGGGCAGCTCGTGGCGTTGCGGGGGGGCCCTTTGCTGCGAGTCCCTCTGATGAAGCCCAGTCTGATGCACGCACAACACAATCTAAAGCCTGCAAAATCGGGGGCTTTCAGCGATAATGAAGTTTTGAGCTTGATTCCCCTTTCTCCAAAGCGTCAGTGCCAGCCGTTAATCTTTGTACCTGAGAGGTCGATATCGATCGACGCAGGACGGCGATCGTCGCCAAGAGCCGCTCGTGAAGCCCCCGTTCTTCGCGCCGCGCGAGGCGTCTCCAAAGCTGCTGTTGCTTCTTTTGGTGAGCTGTGGCTATCCAGGCCTTCTGCACTGGTGGCATCTGAGAACAAAGTGGTGCGTCCACCGGAGAGGAAGCCCGTGTGTAGGGGTTCTCCTGGGGGTCGATGAGACTCGAAAATAAGCGTCGGCCTTTCTGGAGGCGCCATAGGAGCCAACGCCTCATAGGCCACAGCCTCGAGGGCCTCAAAGTACTCCGCAACGACCTGCATGCACACACACACAACACTCTGTGATCGCACATTCTCGATATGCACGGCATACCAGCGAAGCCTAGGGAGCCTGGTTCTATGGCGTTGTTGATTGGGAGGAGCTCTAAACTTAAGAGCGGCAAAAATCACCTCAGAAGGACGAGCGCAGAGGCCTTGCTGCTCTTGCTGCTGTTGAACCTCTTCTATCAACTCGGGTGTGAGGAGAGCCCCCACTGCCCAGCACAAAGCCTCCGCAAGAGGGGCCCCCTGAGGATTCGAATGTGCCCTAATTCCCTGCACGATTTGGTGCCGCTGCTGAAGCTGCGGCAGTTCAGAAGTCAAACAAGGGCGTCCGAGAGCGAAAGTTCTCAAGCGGAAGGCGCAGCACCAACTGACCCCACACCACGCACGAGAAGGCCTAGAGACAAGGTTGCCTCCTCTGCCCAGGGCGAAGGGGGCAAAACAGTCTCTGGGAGCCATATTTTTTTTATTTATTTAAGGCCTACCAGCAAAGCGGGGTTGAGAAGGAGGATATTTGCGGTCGCTTCCACGGCGCGGCTTTTGAAATCGTCAACGAAGAAGCTCAGGGGATACAGCAGGGAGAAGCGCTGCAGCAAAGCCCTAAACAGCTCCGCTGAAAAAAATCGCAGGTCACAAAGAAACGAAGGACCTGCCACCCTTAGCCTCATGCAGACAAAAGATACATCGGCGGAGCGATCTGCATCCAGCGCTTGTCACGACGAAGGGTGGACTACCTCTGGGTTGAGGGTGAGGGGCCTGCAGGGCCTCTTTGAAGAGGATATCCAGACAGAGCGGCACGGCTTTGCAAACGGCCGACACCCTCGGGCTTGCGGGCAAGCCTCTGCAGCAAAAAGAAGACACGAAGCCTGCATCTCAGGCTTAAGCTCCGCGGACGCGTCAGAATCGAGTAGAGCAGCAGCGAAAATTCGTCCCCCGTTCTGCGAGCGCGAGAACGAGTTTTCACAGAGGTGACGAGCTGGGAACCACCCTTGTTAGGTGTGGCTTGCGGGAGGGTTTGGGGTCTGCTTCACTCGCAAAGACGCATCAGCCGCTGCAGCTCTTCCTCTGACCGGCCTTCCCACATCACGGGGGCTTTATCTGGAGCAGTGGCACAAGCACACAGCACGCTCTAGGTAAGGCCTAGCAGATCTCTTTTCTCTACGAACTAGCGCCCCTTCGCAGGATGCCAAGGCTAAGGTTTCACGTTCTGAGATACAGGTTTGCGCCTTGCTTGAAGTCGCTGGCCTACGCGTTTCCGTCCTAAGGAGGTACTTTGATGCAGCCAGAAGCAGAGGGCAGCAGAAATTCCCGGGGGGCCCCTGGGGCCCCCACTTTTCAAGGAATGCGGCAGTCAACGGCAAGTCCAGCAGAGCGTTGCAGACCTCCCCGAAAGAACCGCCTGCTGCCTGCACAACACACACGTCCCAAGCTCCAGACTCCGAAGCAGAAGGCGCACGCTGCGGGGAGCAGGTAGTGTGGCAGAGCGGAATGACTCAGCCAGCTTTGAAAGGTGCTAAAGGCCTCGCGATGGCTGTGTGCGTGGGGGCAAAGGCTTCAAGAGAAAGATAACGATTTCGCACGTACGATAGAAGGAACGAGGAAGCGGAGGAGAGAACCAACTGACCGAGGATGAAATGCAGCCAACATGAAAATGGAAGGAAAGTACCTGCGCGATGTAGAGACACACAGTGAGAGACAGATAGAGAGAGAGAGAAAGACAGATAGAGAGAGAAAGAGAGAGACAGATAGAGAGAGAGAGAGACAGATAGATAGAGACAGACAGAGAGACAGACAGAGAGAGACAGACAGAGAGAGACAGAAAGAGACAAACAGAGAGAGAGACAGATACAGAGAGAGAGAGAGAGAGACAGATACAGAAAGCCCCTTCAGCCTCTCAATCCCCACGGCGCTCTCATGAGGTCCTGTGGGGTCAATCCGTTGTTGCACAAAACTTCAGTAAGAACACGGTTCTAAAATTCGTGCAGTTACGATTAGGGTTTAGGACTGGGAGCTTGCCGGAAGAGAATGTGTGGCTCTATGTGATGCCGGGCGTTGAAGATGGCTGCGACTGCTTGGATACTGCAGAGAGGACTCTGCGTTTGCTTGGGGTTAAGCAGGAGGAAGAGGTTGGCGTATATTCCCTCGAAGAAGCACAAGGGGGTTTGCTCGACAGATGAACGGAGGAATACGAGGGCCGCTAAATAAAAGAGACGCAGCCCAGAGAAGCCGCCTAGCGGACGCTCGGCTAACTGAAGCGCACACCACAAGCCACAGACTCTCACGACTCAACAACGCCTGCCTCCTTACTACTCATTTCTTCGCTCAGACTTTCTTCGCGATCTCTTGAGCATCTTTGTGATGGGCCCTCATGCAGTGCCTCCTAGGTTGCTGTGCTCCTCTGGGGCTTTGCAGAGAGCGTGAACTCACGCGTTTGATGGCGACGAATGCTTGTTGTTGAATGTCTCTGCTTGCAGGCGCCAGTAGATACAAGAGTCTCACCGCTTCGACTGCTGCAGCGTCCATGAGCTGCGCCTCGAGCACCGCACCATTGACAACGGCACATCGGCCAAGCCGTAAACAGCAACTGCTGCTGCTGCTGCTCGGCGTGTCTCCCGACAGAGCTCTTCCGGATCCTGTGGGGCTAATAGTGCTCGTCCCTGCGCAACAAGCCGCTTGCTGCTGCTGCAGCTCGGCCTGCTGCAGCACTCGCAGACAATATCGAGACACAGCACTGAAAAAGGGGTGGGGGGGGCACCCTGAGGGATCCTCCTCGAGAGCAGGAGAAGGTCTTGAAGGAAGCCTGGGGATGGCGTTTGCAGGCGCTGTGGCATCTCTGGGCTGCCCTTGCTGCTGCTCTTGCAGCCGCTCGTGGGTGTGGTGGTACGCCTCCTGCTGCAAGCTCTCGCCCTTGTCGATGAAGCCAAAGTGCATCAAACGGAAAAAGGCCTCTTCTCTCACGCGGGATCTCCTGAGGCGACGCACAAGGAACGCTTCTGTTTTCTACGTCCTAAAGGGTCTCCTTCCCGCAGCTCGCTACTCCGTGAAAGCGCTAAAAAGCTTCTTCGTGTGTCCGTCAGTTGCTTACTCGGCGGCTCCGATTGGAGTCGCATGCACGCGAAGGATCCAAGGCGCAAGACAGGCGAAGAGCTGCGAATGCATCAATTCTTCGTCGGAGACGGACTGGCTTCGGCAGAGGCAGCTGAAGAAGTCTCTAAAGCCTCACACAGTTCAGGAAGACAGGAGCCAAAAGGCGTGGGGGCACAAGAAAGGCCTCAAAAGCCACAGAGAAGCATCTAGCCATGGCTTCCGCCTGACTGAGCGCGCAGCTGGTACAAAATGAAGTGTGTTTTGTTGCGGCTTTGGCATGCGGAGCAAGCTGACCTGGAAGGTCTTCCATCGGGTTCGTAGAAGGTGTTGTCCACCTCTGCCTTCCACAGGTGTTTGAGCCATGAGGACAGAGATTTCTTCTGCTTGTCTTTGCCTTTGGTGCTGCTCCTGCTGCTGCTGTTGCTGTCGCTGCCGGTGGCAGTGCTGCTGCTGCTGCTGCTGTTACAGCGAAGCAAGAGGTGCTGAAAGGCCTCCTCTGCAAGCGCAATTTCCTCTTTATAGGTGCAGAGCGGCCGCGCAGACAGCGCCACAACCCGTAACAGGCACGAGAGGGAGAGCAGACGAACGGAGAGCAAGGGAATGGCGCCTCCTTGTACAGCCGTCTGCGTGCAAGGCAAGCCACTGGACGCTGCGGACTGCTGCGGCTGCTTCGGAGGGCTGGAGAAGGCAAAAAGGCTCCCTGGAGATGAGGTCGAGGAGGATCCCTGTTGCTCTGGCGTCTGATGCGGATCCTCAGCAGCAGCAGCAGCAGCTGCAGCTGCAGCCGCTAGAGGGGCACCGCCTGTGGTGAAGCGTACGAACGTTCGCGCATTGCTGACCAGCACTTGCGGGCTGTGCAGCTGCAGCAGCAGCAGGAGAAAGCAGCAGAGCTGGTTCATGGAATACAGCGCCATGTTGCTGCCGACGCCTTCGGAGAGGCAGCTCGGTAGGGAGCAAAGAGAGGGGCCCCCAGGGGGCCCCCCGGGAGGGCCCCCCGTCGGGGCCCCGTCGGAGAGGAAGTCCCAGGGGCGCGGTACGCGCGGAACCTCTTCGGAGCTCGGGGGCCCCTCTGAGGGTTCGTCTTCGGCTGCCCCCATGCGTGGGGGCCCCTCCCCCGCACTGTGCGTGGCAATCGAGACAACGTCTCGAGGGGCCCCCGAGGGGCCCTTTCCCTGCTGCTGCTGCCGCCGTGCCTTGTGCTGCTGCTGCTGCTGCTGCTGCTTAGGGGGTGAGATGGACGTGAGATGCAAGAGCAGCTGGGAGAGGACGAGACGCAGACCAAGACTCCCACAACCCCCTGTGGTGGCAGCGCCAAGGAGGGCATACAGCATCACCACGCAGCGATGCAGCAGCTCCGCCGTCCTCTGAGGAAAAGCGACATGCGCAGCGGAAAGACGCCGAGCGGGGTCAAGGCCTTAATTGGGGTGTATTTACACTGCGAAAGGGGCAGCCGTGCTGAGAACGAACGTGGAGAGGCCAAAAGGGAGAGGGGTGAAGGGGGAGGGGGTGTTGTCTTTGAAAGAGCCGCGAGCACACACGGCACATCAGCAATCCGGCAGCAATGCAGCAGCAATCAACGAAGCATCACTAGCAACCCCAGTCATCACGCCTCAGACACGCGAATGCATCTGAGTGACAAGCAAGGCACGCTTGGCTCAAATCGAAGAAGGCAGGACGCAGAGGGCAGGTGCGCTGCTACCGACAAGCCACGCCTGGCAAAATGGCAATCCCTTGCAAAATAGCGGCGACTTTCCGCTGTTTCCCACCCCTCCCCCAATCTGCCTGCACAGAAGCACGCCTAAGGGCTCACTGCTGATTGAGCCGTCGGCTTGAAGAGCAACTTTGGGGGAAGAGCACCGCAGGAAAGCTGCGTATAAAAAGCCCGCAGTTCAGCTGCCGCCGCGTTGCTGCTGCTCTTCTGCTGCAATCGCTCAAGGGCCCCAAGCAGACCCTCCATGACCTTTTCTGAGGCTTCCATATTCAAGCGGCTGGTGAGGGCCCCTACTGACTTAAGGAGGCCCTAACATGCAGTATCACTAGACGCGCGCCTCCGCCTTCCCGAACTCGTCATTACAGCGGAGATCACCTCGAACTGGATAGCCGCTGAGGCTCCTTGCTCTCTGAAAGGACCTGATGCGAGCGATTTCCCGACGGGAGGCCGCTTAAGAGCTGACGTAGGGCTCCTCAGCAGCTACCGACATTGTAAGCCTTTCTGCTGCGGGCCCATGGTGTTGACGGATAGCAGAACAGCTCGGGGGTCAGAGGCAGCCTCAGGGATCAACAGCGGATGTGTCGTTCAAATTGATTCGAGACAAGTCGGAGGAGCTGGGGTGAGTGCAGCCAGCCACCCCAAGACATCCCGGCAACGGGGAGCCAGCAGCAAACCCCAAACTCCAACCCTCTTGATCAAGCGAAACGAGCACACCGATATAAAACACATAATAAATTTCTTCAATGCTTGGATTTTTCGCCATGGCCTCTTTCTGCATTTCAGGGGTTGGCGCTGCAGTTTGCTGGTTTGCTAGCATTCGCCAGGGGCCCCCGCCATCGTCGACCTCGGGGGCCCTCGTAACCGGTGGCTTCCTTCTCTCCGGCTATACCACTCTTCCAGCGAATTCGGGGCCTGACTAGTTACTGTTTGACATTTATCGCTTGTTGATTGCGTTCTAAAGCAGTTCTTGTGCTTTCTTCGCGTGTGTTGTCTGGACCGCCTACTGCAGCACCGAGCTGCCTAGAGAACTGACCGAATTCCATTGATGCAACCATATCGACTGCAGAAACTCCTTAAGCGCCTTCTCGGTTGGCTCTAAGACCTCCACAGGGGGCTCACGGTCCCCCCGTCTCCCCCGTGCAGTTCACCATGTCGTTCTCGGCCTCTGTTGGCGAATTTTCTTGTCAGGCTGAGGATTGCGAGCACTTCTTCGGGCTCTCATCCGAAGATGAGAGTGCGTTTGAGGCTATTTGCGCTTGCTCCAGAGGCCCCTGTGGCGGAAGGCAGCGGCAAGGACCCCCCATCCCGCTCAAAGAAGCACTGGATGTCGTGGGAAACTTCAGTAACGCGGTGCAGGACGGTTGGGGGCTTCTCTGGGAGAGTGCTGCACCGCCTCCACAAATCTCATAGACTCGATAACCGACTGTATCCTGTTACGGCTGGTTTTGCAGGCCTCCTCCACAGGAGTGGCGACCTTCCCCTCTCGCATTTCTTGAGTGCTGCTGCTGAGGGCGTTGACGAGGGAGGCCAAGCCCCACAACAGACGGAACGCTCTCCGGGGAAGTCGAACAAGGCGTTCCCGTCTTCGCGTGAAGTTTGCATGTGGGTGGTCGACGCGGACAAGGCGCTTCTGTTTCAGCGGGAGGAGATTCCAGCTGACACCAGCAGCTCCCTTGCCAGGGATCCCGCCGGGGGAAGCCTCAAGGGCCCTTCCACTGCGGGAAGGACGCCGCATGGGCGTTCTTACTTTTGGAAGGTAGGCGCCAGGCTGTGCTTGTTCGAGGGCTGAAGGCCTGTACGTTTCTGCATTGCTGAGTCTGGCTTTCAGCTGGGGTTCTTGTGGTATGCGACTCGCGCCTTTCGGCTCATCCGCCTCGTGCAGGAGCTGATGCATGCCGCGACCTCCTACGTCCGCTCACGCCTCTGCAGCAAGGAACCCTTGCTCTTTGGCGTTTTGCTGTTCAACGCGTACGCTAGAACTGAGGGGGGGCCCCTCCCTGGAGAGAGCAGTGGCCAGAAGGGCCCCGCAGACTCGGTGAGGGAGGGCCTGCATGCAAAGGGAACGCCGCGTCGGAGGCTGCCTCTTCTGCCTCTCCTCATGCCGGGAATCGCCGTAGCGCTGCCCCTTCAGGAGGCGACCATCAGCACGATAGAGGATCTGGGACTGCTTGCAAGTCTGGATAGAGAGCAGTTCGAGGAGGCCTTTGCGGAGCCACCCCAGAGGCCCCCCTTTACAGGTAGGAGGAAGTCGAATTTCGGACTTGGTGGCTCCCCTTTCTCGCCGGCAGCATGTCGATTTACAGACGTCTTCCTTGAGAAGATTTCGTGCAGAAGGCCGTGGCGGTGGAAGCCTTAGGCTCCTTTCAAGCCCTTATTCTTCGCGTTTTGTTCAGACCTCTGGTGGAGTCTGGGGTACATGCTGGCTGGCGTGCAGCAGCGGCAGAAGCGCCGTGAGGCGTTCCTGCAGCGGGTGTTCCTTTTCACGAACAATCCCGATCCCTGCAGCAGCACAAGCAGGGGCGGCGACTGCAGGGGCGAGGAGGAGGAGGAGAGGCGCGCATGCATGCAAAGATTAAAGGATCTCCAGTCGCAGCAGGCCCAGTTTGTGCTGTTTCCTCTGGAACACCACGGCAAGTCTCGCTCTAGAGGCCCCTCCCACCCTTCTGCTGCGTCTCTTCGGAGGCGCATGCTGCCGCGCTCACAGCTCGCCACGTTCTCCGTACTTTGCATTGCATATAGGAAAAAGGGGTGACGCCGACGATCGTGTGTGCAGAAGGCAGTTTTGACGCCAGTCTTTTTTGGGACGAGGCCCTTGGGCAGGATGCCACGGAGGCGCCATACTTTCTCCTTCTCAATACCGTTCAGCAGAGCATCGAGTACTTCGAAACCCCAACCCCTGATCTCGCGTTCTGGCGATAAGCGTTCCTCCTACGCCTCCCTCGTTGAAGCTCGCTTGCTACACAAACCAGTAGAGTGGGGATTTGTACGGCGCCTCTGATCCTCAAGACAAGTCTTCCTTTCAAACGCCTGCGGTTTGTGGTTTCAGCCGTGCAGCGCGGCGCTCGCGTCTGCTGTCGTCCATGCAGTTCTACTTGACGCCTACCTTCTGCCTTCCCGTTTGCTTGTACACTGCACTATCTCCCCCCCGACTTCTGAAGCCTGAGCCTATTCTTTTACCCTTGGGGGTTCCATTGCTGTCGTGCCAGCGCTGGAAAGCCGAGGGATGGGAACCTGTAGCGCCTTCCGCAGCTTCTAAAAGGCTAGGGAGTTCACAAGATGCCCACGAATCGGATACTGTCACCGGAAGAGAAGCAGGTGCACCCCTAGGTTCCTCTTTAGATGCTAAGCAGGCAGGCCCCTCGTGGACATCCCCAGAGAGTCGTGGGCATGCAGAGAAGGTAGTCTTGGTTTTAGAGCACGGCGACAGAGTTATCGAAATGGCGGAAGAGGATCTGCGCGGTCTAAAGGTGCGATTTTTGTTCTGACGCTCAAGCACAAATGAGAGGAAGCACACAGGGGGTTTTGCTGCACGCATCGCGCCAGCAGGCCACGCGCCTGCGTGTTGGCTCATGCTTATGCGTGTCGCCTGCTAGCAACTGCAGACTTCGAGGTGTTTGTCTTTTGGCTTGTTCTATCGGTTTGTGTTTCGTTTGCTCAGAGGTATGGTCCTTCCTGCATGCGCTTGTTGGGGTTCGTTCCTAGGGGCCTCATTTCCCCTGAGCTGAACGTCGCAGCTCCAGTCTTCGTCACTGCAGCGAGTCACATCCTCGCGGAGGCAGCGAGGCGGAGGCAACTGAGGCTCAGGCAGCAGCAAGCAGAGGCCGCTGATGGAGGAGGAGGGAGCCACCGAGGAGGGGGCAGCACTGCGAAAGCGACTGAGACACGCGATGCCAGAGCGTATTATCGGGAAGCTGACCGCGTTACCTCCAGCTTGATCATCGCCATGGACAGTCAGGACGTGGTAATTGCTGTTGGACTTAAGCCCACATTATGCAAACACATAGGCGCGGGAGAGAGGATTTCTGCACAAAAAGGGGTTCACCGCTACCGTGTGAATGACTTTTGGCAACTGCGCGCCTCTGCATCTACATACGTATCTGTGTTCTTGGTCTGTAGCTGGGCGTCTTGTTGTTCTCTTGGATTTAGCAGTGTGTGCGTATGGGCGTTTAATCCCTGCTGTGTTTAGGGGTCATTCCGCTTGTCTCTCCTTGCACTCCTTGTGCCAGGCCCGCTGTAGTAGGGGTGGCTGAAACCAGTAAAGATCCATGTGCCTCTCGTGTCGCAGCCGCTTTGTTTTTTATGCGTAGGCGGCGGTCGTTGCGCTTGTGCCTCGTAAGGGGGCCCCCTTCATGCTGGGGGCTTTGCTTCCGCAGGTACGAATTCGCTGATCCTTGTTGCGGAGAGCGCCCACGCGCTCAAAATCCCCTGTGTGTTGCACGGCAGGAAGTTTGTGGGGTTTCCATGCTGCCGTCGAGGAACTCGCATTACGAGGATGTGGAGGGAGAGGGAGGGGGAAGGGGCTCACCTCGGGCCGAACTAAGCGGAAGCGGCGGTCGAGCGTAGCAGCTCTCATTACAGCACGCTCAAGAGCAGCGGAGCAAAGAGGCACCTTGATAAAGAGCTGTCTATCTACGCTTCTCCATCTTCCCTGTGCGGTCTCCGTGTGCAGCTGCACGAAGTCGACAGTCGGGGCGTCACGGAGCATTCCTCAGGGTTTTACCTCTTGCGATTGCCATTTAGAGGAGAGTTGAGGGCCCCCTCCCTGCCTTGGTCTCTCTGCAGCGTCTCCCCCTCTTTTGTGTCTTGCCTCCTAAGCGAAGCGCGTTCCTACACAGAACCCGCCAGCCATGAGAGCGCTCACGAAATGACGGAGAGGGAAACGCAGGTGCTCAAACTAAGCATGCACCTCGCGGAGATCCTGAAGTGTAAGTACAGCCCCGTCCCGTGCCGTCCCCCTCATTTCTACTCCTTCTCGAGGCTGCGGCTGCCTGACCTGTTGAAATCCTCTTAGGCTGGCATTCGTGGTGTGTGAGCCAGAATATAGGGGTTTACAGCTTGTGGCTGTCTGCAAATGCGCAGGTCTAGAGCTTTTAGATTTTGACGTACATCAGATAGTCAATGCCCAGCGGCAGAAACAGATAGCAACCTTGGAGGCATTTTCCCTCCGTCTCTCCCTCCCTGCCAACCCTCATGATCCTCTGCTCCCTGATGCAGAACGATTTTCCGTCGTCGACGGGCCCTTACTCGAATGGGCGCAACGGTCTGTTACACTCAAGACGCTGCCTTCGGGGACCTCCCTTCCAGGAGCTTGCTGCCCTGTAGATTCTCTTCAAACTACTCTCCTACACGCGTTGTAAGGCCTTAAGGTGTGGTGTCTTGTCTCCTTTGCAGGGTTCGGGACGCAACAGCTGGAAAAGACGAACTCCAAGGTTCGAGGAAGCGGTGCATCCTCTCCGGAAGTCCTCATACGGCTGCACCTGCGGCCTCTCGTCAGGACGCCTCGGCAAATGCAAAGGCTGCGAAGCACCCCAAGAAGCTCTGCTGTGTTCAGGAGGAGGGCTTACTTGCTGAGAAGTACGTGCTATCGCTCGTGGTGTCTGACCAGCTCGAAACCCTCACCGTTGCGCAGCTTCGGGGGGCTTTAGGGCGCTGGCGACAAAAGACGGGGGGCACAAAGGCAGAGCTCATTCAAAGGGTGAAGGACTACGTTACAGGCAAGGAGCAGCTCAAGTAACTAAAGACTTCCACGGAAGAGTTTGGAGACTGGGCTTCGGGCCTCAGCGTATGTTGTTTTCGACTGCCGTTCGGTCAAGGCAGCGACGTTGCTCATGGAAGTCTGCTCTATTAGGATCTAAGGCCTAGCTAGGGATTAGCATTAGGTGGTTCGTATAGACACATTAGAGGTCGCGTTCCATTTACTGCTGCACGTGGAGCAAAACCAAGGAAACGGAATTTTATAGGGGAGAACAGCCAAGGGGAGCTGAGATTGGCAACCATTAGTGCAAAGAAGGAGCCAGTAGAAAAGGAAAATGCTCGAAGAATAGGAGCAAAAGGTGTCAACGACTCGGGGAGAAAGGAATGCATAAGCGGAGGCATAATATGATGGACTCGGGCGTGGCACCTTTAAATGACGTAATACCTTGACTTTCCTGCTTTCAAGCAACAAACAGCGTTCCAACCTTCTCTTTCTTCCCCGTTTCCTCTTTTTTCCAACATTAGTGCTCACTGGGCTTAGACAAGTCGTAGCTGCTACCGTTGCACAAACCGGTAGGGGCACACTGAGGAGCTGCGCTATTTAAACGTTAAACTTATTTGGCATCTACATCTGCCGATGCTGCTATGCATCAATGACTTTCAGCTCTTCTTAACTGCGTTGACGAAAGATATCCCCCAATAAGTCCACCCCAAAGAGTGGTTTCCACTTCAGTGGTTACACTAGTAAACTAATCGAAGCACAATGCTATATTGGATTCAGTAAAAGCCGCTTTTCCCTTTCTGCGGAATAGACATGATGCCCAAACTGTGAAGATTATAATTAGCAGCTTCAGCTTGAGGGTTGTGTGGTTAGCATTCATGTTTACGAGGTCAGGGCTTGTATCGATACCTGTCCGGTGGCTCCCGGGGATTTTGGTGGAAGAGCGTAGAACATTGGCGGAGCAGTGAGAAATCAGGACTAAGAAAGCTTTTTGTTAAGCAAAATATATTATACAGCAGAACTACCTAACGAGCAGTACGAAAATTAGAAGAGCATGGCCAGGGATAATATTGTGAGAGCGGGAAAGATTGCGTCGCAGCACTACGGGGGCCTCTGGGTCGATGGCTCCTTTTGCTTTTTTTCAGCCTTGTATTTTCATGTTCTTTGTTGATTTAACTGGCTTAGTCTCTCATTACCACTGAAGCAGTGAGGGAATCCTTTCCAATTCGTCTTCTTTCCTCTCCCTGGCTACGAGCCAGGCTCGTTTTTGCTGTGCCTCCTTCGCTTCTGTGCATCTAACCACCCTGGGGTGCAATTTCTGCTGGGGGAGGCACTACAGAGCGTGTTATCTGGCTGTGTACCCTTTATTTTATGGCACCGTCCCCTCACAAGCATTCACAGAACCCATATGCGGCTGTTAAGCAGAGGCGCTCGTCTGCTGCTGCTCTGCGCGGCAGCAGCAACACTCAACTGCAGCAGCAATGGAGCTAGCTCATCTCGTCTCTTCCCTTCTCTTTTGCCAGTTGAGGGATCGTCGTCCGCCCTAGATGGGGGCTTAGATTCGCTCTCCTCTTCCCTCCCCTCTTCTTCTGCTGTGCAATTGTTGGAGAGTGGCCACACGCCGCGTCGTCTCTCTTTCTCGGTAGCCATGATAAATCTTGCCACTCAAGTGGCAACGAACCAAGAAATACGGCAGCTCATGAAACAGTGGACGGGGATGGTGGGGGAGATCTTCAAAGGACCGGACACCAGCGAATCCAATATTCCATACTACTGGAAAGTTCCGGAGTGCGTTTTGACCGTCAACTTTTATTCTGTGGCCGATATTGGGATCTCCGATTCGTCCAAAATTTCCCTTGCATACACTCCAGTTCATAATGCTATAATGTTGGGCTATGTTGAAGAAGCTGCGGAATGGATTCAAGTTTTCAAGAGACCATTTCCTAGAATTCAGTTTCTTCATGTTCCAGCTGAATGCATGGTAGATGAAAACACGACATACTCTGCCTTTTGCACCAAGCCAACTGGCCGGTGCCTTATGGTTCGGCTGGACATCCATCTTACGCGTATCACCAAGCAAATGATGACGACACTACAACCTATACCCCCAAATCAGTTTATTCAGCAACAGCTTGATGAAGGATTTATGATTGATGATGCAGTGGATATTTTGAAGGCCCCAACAACTGTAGGAAGACTACTGTTTGACTCGCTTAACTGTATCATGCACACCAGAGTGGCGGCGCTGAGTCCTGAATACATCTATGTATACCATAACTCCCTAGATCACTCCATTCGGGTCGATGCTATGAGCAGCAAAAATGAGTGGAATAGAAGGAAAGTGATTCTACCTCTTGGCTGCGGAGGGACAGAGGCGAAGGACTTCACAACTGTGGTAGTTCTGCAACAGGACGGCCACTACAAAGTCTTGGTAAAAGCTGCAATTGCTAGAGGCACCGATTATAATAGAGAGTCCGAGAGCAACATCGAAATCAGAAAAGGGAAGGACATCAGGCCAACATCGGAGCTCAATTACGGAGAACATGATCCCGCAGATATGTATCCGCATGCTAATTTCATCCCGTTCGAGTCTATGATTGTTGGACACCCATTCTGAGCGGTCTCTTGCTCATTCTTATGCTTGCTGATGCTGCTTCTGCAATGTTGGCTACTGTTTTTACGTGCTTTGTTTAGATGGGGAAATATTCCGGCCGCAGTACAAGACAACCGGCATGATTTGGCACACAAACACCTGAGAAGAGAACAGGGGCCAGAGGGGGGGTCAATTTGAGTGTGCTGCGGTTTTCTGGTATGTGGTCCTTTTCGCAAGACTTCAATGACGCCAAATCCATGGGTAAACAACCAGATCAGGATACGTGTAGGCCTATCAGTACGCGGGTAAGACTCTCGCTTGCGTGCCTTTTCTCCGTTTGAACGTGGCACACTATGTTAAAGTACTCACTCCAACTGTTTTATCCTTTTGAATCGAACCCTAATTAGCATTTCACATCATAGCTGGGATGTAGCGTAATGGGTCCGGTAGTCGCAGTGGGAAGCTTCGTGTGTAGGGTTCATTTTTTCATCTTGTTCACTAGAAGATGCCCGAGGTCTGCGTCTTTGGCACTTATCACGAGCTCAAAGTACCGACACTAATGGGAGATGTCTCCTGGTTACCAATTTTTCTCCAAGCGGGTTAATTTCGCTTGTGGTAAGATACATCACCTCAAATAAAACGCAGCTTGCATTTAGCATCACCAGATTGCTACTAATCTAACAAGCTACAACTCGCAGAACATAGCTTTATTGCAATGAACGGAACCTGTTGAACGTTGCCCTTGCGCACGTTTAAGCGGTGTTCTCTTACTGTAGACACCCACAAGACTGGATCTGGACATATGGGCGCTGTTTTAAAGTAGCCGTGGCACAACAGAAGCCTGTAAAATCAACCATGATTGATTTAGTTATGCCGGAAGAAATAAGAACACTTTTGCTTGGAAGCTCTTCCATTCTATTCGAATGGAGGAAACGGGTAAAGCATTGCCATTTGACCATTGCACGGACGACCAGTCATTAGCTGTCCACTTACCGTTGCATTGCAAATTTTCTTTGGAAGTTAACGGTATCGGCAGTCAAAAATTGTATTTAGCAACCTTAAATTATGAAATAGACCGTGAATTTACTGCTAAAGTCGGCCACGGTGTTCTGCTTTCAGCGGACCACAAGCTGGGTGGTGCACCAGCATGAAAATTGGACAGGGGTGCCCTGTTGGGCGCGCTCTGTTGCTTTCACGATCCTCAGTTTCTGCTGGGTAGCTGTTTCCATTGGTTGACTTGAATTTGCTGCCCTTTAGGGCAAACCATTTCTGTGAAGTGCTGCTGGGTCACTTTTGTGCAGTTTCTCTTGCGGCTTCCCCCCATCCTCGCAGCTACCAAACGCCAGAGAGACGCTCGTGTACCACTAAGAAAACGAGTCGTGTCTACTCTCTTATGCCTGCTTGAAGATGGCAGCTGTGAGCCCCACAGGTGCTCCAGGGCCTAGCAGCATGTCAGACCCACTCCTAGGGGAACCTTCTGCCCCAAATGCTGCACCAACCGCCTCCAGCAGTGGTGTCAGAGCCCCTATTAGCAGGCTTTCAGGGGTTCAGACGGCTCTTCGGGGGCCTGTATCTATAGGGAGCCTTATTCCCGTTTCTCCTTGTCCGCCATTGGCTTTCGAGAGCCGCATCCAGTCTGTAGATATCATTGCTGCATCTCCGCACATCTTAGCCGCTTCAGGGCGCTGCGGATGGAGCCCATGCTGTTCTGGAGCCAACGGCCCTCCTTTTGATTGGATTGCATTGCTGCATTCAGCATCCAGGTCTCTCAGTACTGCCCCTTCCGCTGCCGCAGTGGAAGGCATCCAGCAGCATACAGCCTACAGCAGCATACCACCGACAGAAGCAGCAACTCCATACCTGAGCTCGGATGAGCATGAGAGAGCTGTGCAGCTGTTGCGTGCCCTTCGGTCTGGTACTGTGCCGATCGGCGAGACCGCAGATTTATCGACGTTGGTGCAGCATAATGCAGTTGTGTTTGGGGGCGTGAAAGAGGTGAACTCAGCGTATAAAAGCGCCTGGCTGTGTATATACGCTTGTTTGGTGCTCGCTTTGCTTCTGGCACCTCTAGGGTGGGTTTTGGTGCTGTTGCTCACCATCTCTGCAACTGTACGGCGCACACTTGATGAATATGTGCTCTATTGGATGGGCCAAACATGCAGCAAAGTTAATTTGCTCCTCTTTCCATGCGGCGTGGCATTGATGCTGCTTGAAGGATCTGCTGAACCTGCAGCTGTCTCCCCCGATGCTGCCGCTGCTCTAGTGGACGTTGAGCTTGCTCAGCCCTATGCTCTGGGGGCCTCCCGTGAGGGGCTCCACGGGGCCAAAGTGTGGGTCTTGAGAGTCTTCATGCTTCCTCGGGAGATAACGATACACCACAACCAGCAAACGGAGGGCAGCCGGGACCAAGCACCTCCCCAGCAGAGCGCTCTGGGTCAGTCCACGGAGCACACGCAGGAATCCATCATAGCAGAGCCAGGGGCGAAGTAACCCGCTTTAATTCATTGAGGTAGCGATGGGGAGTAGGGAGAATGCTCGCAAAACGCAAAGACAGGGGCCTAACCATGATATTAACTCTCATTTTCTATGCTTGGCGGGTCTGTTACTAAGCAACACATTGCAAGGGAAGACTGCTGTGCAATCACTGTGCTTCTGTGGGTGCGTTTGGATTAAATGGCTGGGACGGATTAACATAAGATGGGCAATCAAGCCGCGTATCCGTCGTAGCCGCTTCCCTTTTTCTGTGGGTAGTCATTATCCTTGTTCTTTTCCACAGCTCAAAACACCATTCGGGTTTTGTCCGCCACGACTCGTTGCAGCACGCGAGGATTGTAGCGTGCAGAGGGATGAGAGGCACGCAATCCAGAAACGTACAAATCCATTTTTCTCATATTGGGACGTAGGGGCTGCGACACATTTCTGGCTGTGAGTTACCGGCAAGACACGTATGAGTGCCTGTTACTGCACCGGAGACAGCAATGGTGGCGGGCAGATTCGTTAGCTTACGAGCGCGTGTCCAGAGGAAACCAGCGCATTCAAATTCGGGTTGTTTAGGCGCTAGGGCAAGCGAACATCGAACAAGCCAGATGTGAATCCGTGTAAGAGGAGTTTCTCGTAGTGTGCGACTCCGTAGAACGGGCTGCCCTACAATTCAGCAAACAAGGTGTACAAATCACCATCCGCTCTCTGGCCATTCTATTTAGATCTTGCATTGATGTGGCTGCCTGATTCCGCACCCCATCACGCGCTGTATTCCTTCGGCTTCGTGTCCTGTCGTAAGTAGCGAAGCGACAGCTTGCTAGGTGGTGGGCGCGTTCGTATTCATTGCTTGTATTTGCTCAAGAATTAGAGCATGTTTGATTTCTTGGTTCCCTTTTATGTCTTGCTTGTTACTGTGCACTGTTAGCTCGACACAAGACGCGATGTTGTGTGCATGTGCACTAAATGCTATGTGCAACCTGCTGTGAATGTTCACAGTGTCTGACGGGTGCATTAAAGCGCGCCCTAGCTGCTCCTTTCCCTCCATATCAGAACCTTGACTAGCGAAAGCAGGAAGAGACTGGAGCGCTTTTGAGAGAGTACTGAGCAGCTTGTGTTCAAGTTGGTAATTAGTGAAGTTCCTTCATAACGGCACCGTAGACAAAGCCTTACATTTGAGTGCATCGCATGGCTTGATGCAGCTCCTCCCCCCTCATCCACTGACTGTGGATGGAGTGGGATATCAGGCCTACCGACAGCACGAGTTTAGGCTTCTTAGAGCAGTTGTCTGTCTTCGGTCGAGTAATTTGTCGACTTGAAAGTTAGGATATTTACGGCAACAGTCTGGGATTGGAAAAACTCCCGCAATAGAAGTTACCTGTGGGCCAACCCTGCCGCGGCGGGGGGGAGCGGCTCAGCCATACATGTCAACACAGCGGCTCCGAATGGAAGGGCATCACTTGTCTACCCATATATTTTTAATGGATGCGTCGATGAATATATGCAGACCCAAGAAGAGTGCGGGCCGTTAGGAGGGCAAGTCCTCGGAAATTTCATGACGGTTAATGGCGTACCTCGCTCACTACCCCCAGATAAACATAAACGAGCCCCCATTGCGCATGGTTCGCGAAAGAATAAGCACGTCGATGGTGGCTCTACATGTGTAAAGCGAATCGTGTGCCTGCAGGGAAATTTGCAGCTCCAGCCTTCAGCCCAAACCTGACTTATTTGTACATGCCAAGGTTGGCAGAATGGCAAGCTTTTGAGGAACTGAAAAAGCTAAAGAAGATGAAGTCATCAAGAAGTCGCTATACTGGAATCTATGAGATATTGATTCGCAAAAGCTATAAAGTGGATGAACACTTGATTTGTCAGTGGATTTCCCAGGTCAATGCAAAGCATAAGGTCAAGTGGCCGCAGGTTGGGCAGCGACGCACGAAGAAGCAGCAGATCGAAAAGCTTCCGCAAGTGATGGACTACTCTTGAGTATTTGACGCGAACAAGCGCAATTTCCTGTTTGGCAAGAAAAGAGGACCCTATCGGGATCCGAAATTCAGGAATGACAGGTCTGGGTGAACCGGGCATGATCTACAGTATAATGCTAAAAGAAGAGATCCAGAGGAACCCGCAATCCTAGGCAGCTCCCATTAGCCTTAACCTCGCCTCTGCTGTGATTGCGGGGTATTGTGCCGCATATCCCTAGACTGCAGGAGCATGCAAAAGCCAAAGAACTTGAGCAGCGGGACTGACTTAAGCGGACATAGTATTCCTGGCAAACGAAGAGGGCTCATAGCTCCCACGCAGGCTTCGGTCTCAATGAAGGGGTCACGGAGAATACTTCCGCAGTTACTGCCTCCCCAAGGGCCAAAGATGGACGACGCAAGAATGCACAAATGATCGAAAACTGCTTTCGTCGCTAGGCATTGAATATGGAGTGGATATGTGATACGAGAAGACGGTTCAGCGTTGCAATTTGCCTGTTCATTCGTTGGCACAGTCCATAGGACTCAGTTTTACTGACGCGAGGCAGAATAAAAGGATTCTCAAAAGTTTTACAGTTTAATGCCATTCCAAATCTGCATGGAGAGATATAATCGCTTTTCACAACTTGTGAGTTGCACCAGATACAATTCCAAGTGTACCATGGGAGGCAAAATGAAATGCGCACATGGGGCTACAGTTCCGCATCGTGATGTTCAGATTTTAGAGAGCGCTAAGAAGAAGCAACTCGTGGTACTGTCAACAACGCTCGATTCACCCACGGGAAACGCGGTAGAAAGATGCCTTGAAGAGGTAGAGCAGAGTCTTCATGTGAGCGGCGCAGCAGAGCAGCATGAAAAACCGAGACTCAGCATGCTTTCCGTCTTGTTGGCTTTTGCCCGGTATCATTACTGGGAAACTCGAAGGAAAACTTAGCCTACGAGCAGCGGGAATGGGCGAGTATGGAAGAGTCAGCAGAAGTGTGAATTCGTGGTAGAAAGGTGACAGTGCAGCTTATCGTGCTACACCACTTTCCCCCGTCCATTTCAAAACACATGCCCACGTGGGGCAGCACCCGGACCTGGATACTAACTGCGTGCAGGACAGCAGAAGTGCTTCATCCCGGTCGGCATTCTCCAAATATGCAGAAACGCGAAAGCACTACAGATGCTAAATGAAACGTGCGAAACATCCGGTTGAGAAGTTGGAGAAAAGACACACACACACACACACACACACACACACACACACACACACACACACACACACACACACACACACACACCAGTTATTAACTAACGAAGGACCTAATAAACTCGCCCTCTGGAGCTTGTTGACTCGCTGGCGTCGCAGCGCTGCAATGTGTGAGCCTCCTGTTATGAGAAAAAGAAGACAAGATTATTGTGTCAAGAGAATCAAAATGCACACCAGAGCAGCAGTTCCTGCCAACTCCAGCACTTTGCATGGCAGTGCAGTTGATGCACCCATCATGGTCTATTTTAAAGTCACAAGAGGCATGAGGAAAAATGTAGGCATTATACTGGGGAGAGCCAGAGCATAAGTATAAGTGCAGAGTACTTAGCAAACCAATTGGGAATGCCTCAAACAGCGTACATAGACTAAAACAGTTTTAGAGGCAGAACATACGCTGAGGAAGGACGATTACCAAGACATGCGAGGTATACTGTTCATGGCAATCAGCGTTGTGAACCAATCAGAAGAGCTGGTCCTTCCAATGACAGCAAAGCCATAAGCCCCTCTTCACTCAGCCTCTCTGGTCGGTACTACTCACCCCATTTCATCATAAACTTCTTGTGCATGCGCTGGGCTCGAAGACTATAGAATCCAGCAGCCCACCGCTCCCTGTTGATTCTCTACCCCCTCACCAGAGTTACTTGCCTAAGGGTCAAAAGTCTGGAACTGATTCTGGACGTTTTGAAGCTACTTTGAGAATCTAATACTGCTAGCTTTGTGACATGTTCAACTTTTGGGGTACCGCTCGAGCAGGAAAGAGCATAGGTTGCCGAGAAGGTGGGAAATGGTCCTAGCCACCTGTTTGCAAAAGTATCCACAAGGTCACATTCTGGCTTACCCCGTAAAGCCCATCGATATGCTAGGACCAACGATCGCGGCTCGAAAAGATTAGCTCTCGCAGCTTGTCGTAGCTCTGCGCGTGTCACTCTTGAGTTTCGCGCATACACCCATCTATACTAGCCAGCTGCTTTGTGAATCCCTCAGGTGCAAAGGGAAGCTGCTAACCGTAGAACACCAGGTCTAGGCCCGAACTGGTGAGGGACACTTCGGAGTAGACCAGGAATGTGGGCGAGCCACCGGAAGGCGACTGCAGGCGAGTGCCCTGTTGTATAACCCCGATGAGACGAAGAAAGAAGTTAAAGCTAAACAATTGGACGTGTGTAAAAAGCACAGTTAGAGCTACTGCAAAAGGGCGAGCTCAGTGTGCTCTGTCTGCAATTCTGCCTCAGAATGTTTCGCAGTTTTCACGAGCAAGGCAACTTGTTGGTGGGTCACAACGGCACCCCAGAGGGCATAACAAACTCTAATTTCCCATCTGTAGTGATACTCCTAGGGGATTCTACAAACTTACACAAATGCAATAAGTTTAAGTGAGCGGGTCTTTGCGCCGTGACACAGCTAAAGCAAGGATGGAATGGGCAAACTTGCTGACTGTTGACAACGAAGTAGACCCTATACAGACCCTTGTCCCCGTCGTCCCACTAATAAATTCCACGGTGAGATTAGGCCAAATTCCTTCAGCTGCAGTAAACTGCCGAGCTTTGAAGAATTGCGCAGATTCGGCGGTAGACAATCTGGGCATGTAAGGGCATCCTCCTCTGCCGAGGGCTGCAGCCAGGATGCCAGATAGAACGTTGGAATTTTTCACTCCGTGGAACCCACTACGTTCCAAAAGAACAAGATCATGTACTTCTGGCGAAACGGCACTGCCAAGTACAGATTGAGTGAATGCGTGACGGGATCTTCCCTTTGTTCTAAATCCTGGAAAGTCCTTTCGTTGAGTGGTGGTGGTTGGCTCTTTGGCCTACAGTAGCGGTTCCATAGGTGTCGTCAGCATAGGACACAAGCAGTTTTGATAGAAACCGTTAGTTATTATTAAAAAGCGGTCGTTGTAAATTGCTTGGGCGCTGCGAAAACTCGTCGGCGACCACTCTGGTGATGCGTTTTATATGCATCACTGTGGAATCGTAGTGCAGAGGCACCCAGTCCATAGAACCACTGTAGGATCATCAAATCTTGGGAACTGTCCAAAAAAGCGCACTAAGGACCTCTGGTTAGTGTCGATAGTAAAGCTTCGTCCAGATAAATAGTGCCAGCAGCATTTTGCTTCTCATCAAGACCCTCAGATTTCTGCTTCCTATACAAGGCATCACTCTTCCGATTCAGTGAAGTGAGGGTTATCAGTAATAACCTGATGCTTTGAAGGATGCATGGCCTATTAGAAAAGGAGAGTACCCATTGCTATCTCAATATCATCGGTTTGCACGAATACCGGAGGTGTAGCAAGGCGGCCAAAAAGCTTAGTTGCTGCGACATCAGCATGTTCAAAGCATAGACTGAGGTTTCTGAGGAACATTACTCAAAGGAGCAGCTTTCCGGGGAGGTAGAGGTATGAAGTGTTGGTAGAAAGGTGCAATGCAATATAACATCTGAGCGTTCCTCTTGGTGTTGAAGAATAAAGACCACACATTATTTGCCTCATTTGTGCCGGAACTGGTTCAGCTCCTGCAGCCGAAACACAAATCCCCAAAGCATAATCGTTTTCATGGAAAACGCATAGTTGTCTGCCCTCACATATCATCGCTTATCTCGCAACAGGTTAATCACTCGGGGTTAGTGTTATAGGTGCTTTTTAACGTTTCGGCTGAGGCCTAAGAAGTCATCCACGGAGAACTCATCCAGCTCTCCTCGATATTCTGATAAAAATGCCGATTAGCCTGATGTTGCAGTTCAGCTGCGGCATTTAAATACTCCAAAACTCTGGTGTGGCAGTGTGGAATTCCGTCTCATGCCTGTCACCTGGGTGTACGGGATTCTGTATGCAGGCTTCTGTGAAATCAAACGTTCAGTAGCCCGTTGAACCATATGACTCTACAAGCAATGCTTCAGCCTGAGGAATCAAAACTTCCGCTTCACACTGATCTTGTGTGTGGGTTCAAATTTAACACACATGAGCATCCTCCTATCCTTTTTCGGCACCAACTGCCCAAAGGCGCGGGTCAATTTCTGGACTCTACCTCCTTTCAACAAACCACTTGCCTAGTGCCCAGTCCCTTCTCCTTGCTTCGAGGGATTTCCGATATCGTAAGACATAATTCGAAGTTAAACCACGAATAAGCTCAACTCGGTGCGCTGGACGACCAGGAAATGGCCAGCCTGCTTCCTGCTGGTCCATACTTGCCCGTTCCCGCTGCTCCTCGGCCAAAATTTTTCCCAGTCATTTCAGAGGTCAGCCTAAAGCCAGTAGGATGAACCCATGCTCAGTCCCATTTATCCATACTGCTCTGCTGCGCCACTCGCATGAGAACTCGATCGCATGGCGCCTGCCATTCTGTCTTTCATGACATATCTAGGATTGTATCGGGTCCAACTCACAAGTCATGAATAGCGATTATATCACTCCATACAGATTGGAGTAGTGTTCAACTGTAAACCCCTTGAAAACCTTCGTAGTCTGCCGCGCTTCAGTAAAACCGAGCCCTACGGACTGTGCTAATGATGCCAAATCAAATCACCTTACAAAATATTGCACATGACTTGATCGAAATCAAACAACAGTGAGGAAACGTGACATCCCACTGCATCCTCAACAAGTGGGAAAGTGGGGAACAACCACATGAAAAAGTATGATCCTACCAGATGTAGCTATCCTCTTACGTTCTCCATTGGGGGACACTTATAGCCCCAAACTACTATAAGACTTCGCAGAAAGCAAAAGCTTAAGCAGCGCCTAACTATGCAGTGCCATTAACTGTAGCTCTCCTACGCTCTTCACAGGGGGACACAACACATATGGCCCCAAAACACTATAAAACCTAACAGAAAGTTATCAAGCGTCACTACGGAAAAGCTTCCCCTCCTACCCTTTCACCCAGGTTTCTGGCATGAGGGGAAAAGAGCAACGAGGATGCGCGTTCCTGCATCCTGCTGTATGCGCATTCACAGCTAATTGCACAACGAATCTGGCGCAAAGCACCAACATTGATTTCAAATGTGATGAGGTGCTTCTGCTCTCAAGAAAATTACATGCTAGCTAGCAGCCTAAACTGATTGAGGAACAATTCTAACTAAAGTACAACATTTCGATAATACATGCATAGTGCAGCCCAGGCGGCCACACCCTTCATTGCCACAAGTCGCAGAGCAAGCCTTTGCATCTCCCCATCAGTAAGCAAGGGACGTTAGGAATCCAACGACGCAGCCGAACCCGACGGACAAGACGGTGAGCGGCCCCGCGACCATGCGCTCCCTTGGATCATCAACAGCATTGCAGGCGTAGAAAAAGGCAAGCGTGCCGATCCACCCATGGCAAAAGGCAAAACCAACGATCACGAACACATACCATATCGGATCAGTGAAAAAGCTGCCGGGCTTGCACAGATACCCCAAGAGGAAAGGCACCAAGAACACCAAGGTACTCAGGCTGATTGGAGCATACGCCTTGCGGGACGGTCTCAGCCAGCCAAGACCCTTAATCCATCCTAAATCGGGTGAGGCTCTTCCGATCGTTTCAAACAGGAACCACATGCCGTACAACACCACAATCTGATTCGGGAAAGTCCACGAATAGTTCCATCCCAACGGGCCTACACTGGGGTACAGATGATACGTATAACTGAAATGAAACACGGCGAGGAGGAGTTCTTTCCAGCTAGCCATCGCCACACGCATCCATAGCATGCGGTTCGGCCTCCCGTTAGGGTCCCCGCTCTGCTGTCGAGACACCTTACGGCCCCAAAGCTGGAATCCCCAAGTTCTTTCCTTCGACTCGGTGAGGGGCGAATCCAGCCGCTTGCTGGACGCTTCCGCCGGCTCCTGCTGAATATGCTTGACGCGGGCCAGGCTCTCTGCCACGTCGGGATGCCTCGCTCGGAATAGGAAATAGAATGCAAACGTGTAAGCAAAGAAAGCAACGATCCCAAAGCTCATGAAGCAAAAGTGAAGCAGGCCGTTGGAGGTGTTCAAGTCAAAGAAGAAGAAACACGCAATCGTCGATATGCAGAAGACCAGCAGTCCCGCAGTCCCCTGACCTAAGCGCACATATCACAACACACACAACAGCACACCCAGAAATGAGCGATAAAGGTAGATTTGCAGTGTACAAGCGCACAGAAAACGCTGTTTGGCGCTTCGAGGAAGGTGTGGCTAGGAGGCATCATCACCAGCATCCCACGCTCCCGAAGAATCGCATTTTCAACGACGAATGCCATCAGATGTGTGTGTGGGGGGGGGGGGGGGAAGGGGAGGCGTCTTTGTATGCATATATGCAAGGAAGTACGTATGTGTGTGTCTGTATGTGCATGTGCGTGCCTCCGTCGGTTCCGGTCTAGTGGCACCGCTCCCCATCCTTGTGCTCACCTAGAGAAACAGAGGCCACATAGCCTGGTGCGATTTGGCACGATAAGGTGTAGCCAACGCCCTGAATTAGTCCCTGGCAGAAGCCCATGAGGACGCTCAAGAGCAGCATCACCCCAAGCAAGCACTGCTGAGCGTAGTCTAATGGCGCCACAGTCCGAGAGGCGCTTTGATCGCGGAGATGCGCATCCATGTCTTGGATGATTCCCAAGTCCTTATGCGGCATTAGTGCAACTGCTGCAGCCAGCATTAGTCCGAGCGTGCCACTTCCGACGGATCCCCATACCACGAGCGAGGGTCGGGGCTTTGACAGCCTCATCAGCACTATCTGCACTACGAGGTTTGCCACTTGAAAAATACCAAGGAAGAGGTTGTTCAGTCCGGGCCTGTTGAGTTTTTGCAGCAAGATGAATGGCAATGTCTGAATCACGAAGTTCCAGCAAATGAGGGAGTTGCAGCCGAGCAGCGTGAACACGAGGTACAGAGAAGGCTTCCTTGAACACTGGATGTCTGAATCCTTTGTGACCTCTAGAGGCAGAACCTCCAAATCCACCTGCCGACGACCATCCTCCTGCGCCATCTTGCTCATCCCGCCACTCTTGGACTGCGCTGTGGCGATCCCCTTTCCTGAGTAGTTGGACACGACACTTCCTTGAGTGCACGGAGCGTGCGCCGAGGCGCTCGTCATGTTGTCACATCCCGACGATTTTCGTGGTACAGAGGCTGACCCCGCAGATCCGCAGAGGGAGGATGCCAAATCGTGATAGCTTGTGGTGCTTACAAGTTTACCCGACAACTCCTCCTGGCCTTGGGAATTCGGATGAAAATTCATAGCAAATACAGACAAGAAATCACGAAATGATGATGAAACACGTCTGGAGGAGATGAGAGAATAATTATGACCCTAACCGCGTTGGCGGAGAGGGGCCGTTCGCTGCTTGTGGGGAGCAGACGACGTCTTGCAAGACGTCCCTAAACGATCATCAGGCCGCAAAGCAACTAGTTATACAGGGAGACTGAAGCAAGTGTGTCGCAATCTGATACGTAGGAGGGAGTAAGATGGCAGCGCATTTGGTGCTCCGCGTCCCCTGTACAGTAGAGCAGCGACTGTCCTAAAGGATGTTGTTTGGGGCTGATTGCTCGAGGCCTGCGGCATTTCATGTCGAGTCCATCTCACGAAATGACAAAAGACTTAATGTTTATTTAGGGCCAAGCTTTTGGTGTCTCAGCTAGCGCGCACAGTAAATGAAGAAAGAGACTGACGATACCGGAGGTGCCATGCGTCGAGGCGCCTGTGCTTTTGGTGGCGTGGCTACACAACGACAATAATGTTTGACACATATTTAAAGTAAAAATCAGACGCAATGCAGAGATTTCAATTCAAGCTGTGTTTACACATCCAAAAACCGGTACACAAAAGGTGGTGACGAGCAAATTCGAACTAGCGCGAGATGCAGCTGTTGGTACCCGATATTGGGGGCATAAGAGTTACCAGTCCGATTTTCTGAAAAGCGGTCTCGCATGCCTTGATATGATTGTAATTGCAGTAGCTTTTAAAAATACAGAGGCCTCGTTTGCGTATATATATACTTCGAGGAGGATTGTCATTCGATGAACCCCTTGGGTTGAGAACGCAGGTCTCTCTGTATTGCGAGGTGAGCCGCGCTGCACTTGCACGGCCAGCTTCATCACAGTTGTAGCAATTACGATTTAGAGACATGTTTGCCGCCCAATTTTGTCGCTCTTGTGTTTTGTTTGTCGAGCCGCTGAGCTTGCTCTAGAGTGGCAGAGGATCTGGGCTGGCTGCGTGTGTACGCACGGAACAGCTGTGTGCGGGTGCCTGGAGAAATTAGAGAGTGCAACATGTAGTGCCATTGTCTTCCTCCCTCGCTACACGGTGGAAGCCTGAGGGGCAGAGGAAGGGAGGAGCGGGTGCTCTTAGGAAATACCCAGCATCCCCTTGTATTGTAGCGCGCCTCCCAAGATTTCCATAGAGAGATTCCACAGTAGGAGCCCTCTTAGAAACAAAGAGAAATCTAGCAGATGTCATTTGCAAACAACAAACCAACAGGAGCTTACTTCCCGCACCACCACAGAGGGTTCCGTGCAAGCTCACCTACCTTGGGCATTTTTACGATAAAGTTGTCACACTTAATTGAGAATTTGTGAATTGAATAATATGCCTGGCTCTTTGTGTATTGTATCTAGTGCAAAGCGGCGTTAGCTCGATGGGACTTAGGGTGGAAGTTTGTGTGAGCGTGCGCAAGATGCTATGTGCATCAAGCTGTGAATGCTCCGAGTGCTTAGCAGGCGCGGCGCCCCTTTGACACACTGGCTGCCTGGCTCTCCTCTCGTTTAAGAATCCTGTGGGAGGACAGCAAGAAGAGAGACCGCGGGTTTTGGAGAACACTCAAGAGCTTTCTAATGAAGCTTTCACACTGCTTTGGTGGCCTGGGGCATCTTGATGGAGGTCGTATGTGGCTTGGCTTACCACAAGGAGTGAGAGTCAGTCCAGGGCACCTGCTGCCTCAGGGCTGTTCGGCATATCGAATGGATCAAAGTGCACGAGATACCACCCTGTTACGGCTACCTCCGGAGAGAGAGATATCCTGTGGCCCTGCGAACAAGGATTGGGAGAGTGTTCAGGAGCTACGCAAAACGATAGCACTCTTTGTGTGCTATGGGTAGCCTGCTTTCCCGTTGTACCTCTCTTGGTGTTCTGAATATCAGTCTCCGGCCTGGTCAGCGGGAAAGCATGATGCCCTAGGGGCCATTCACAGTCAACATGCCTCCTGTGTGATTCGGGTATACTAGGCGTCATTGGTTGAACCACGCGAGTTTCGAAAAAGCCCCTAGGGTGAGACGGGAAAGGTATCACTCTAAGGGCTTTATCGGAACTCTAGTTTGTCCCGCAGAGATGCAGAAGGGAGAACTGCATGGGGACATTAAAAGGATCTAGGGGCAAATGTCTCTTTCTTTGCCGCCAAAACCATTTAAATTGTTGACTTTGTGCTGTGAGAGCAGTTGTTTTCGACCAGCGAGCCTCATGCGACGGGCGAGTGCACTGTGTGGGTCTTTTTCAACTGCTGCAAAAGCAGCAGAAACCCGCAAACGAGGCGCTTTGTGTGAATACCTACGGTGCCTGGCATCGGCTTCGGTGTCTTAGGCAGAATCGCTCTCAGCGACAACGTAGAGATTCGGACTAAGAGAAAACGCCTCTTCCTGTTCGGCGTGCAGAGCACCACATCGCGGAAAGCTTGTGCTACCCGTTCCAGGAAAGGACAGGCACATCGAAACGTGCCACGATCACCAATGTTTGGGTGTTACCTGTTCTGTGTAAGTCTGTTTGTCTGATTTCTGAGCTGCCTCTTCTCCCTCGTCAGTAGGCTTGATAAAGTAGCGCGTACAGATTCGGCCAGGTGTAAATGACCCTCTGGCCTTGGCTATTCAAATCCAGATTCAAATGGCATGGAAACCTTTGAGTGCATCCTTTCTCGCATTCGCAGCCATTCCGCTTGGGTGCAAGCCCTTTCGCTTGCTGTTCCGGCAGCAAAATACCCTAACACCTTCCACTTCCAGCTAGCAAAGCCAAGTCCCTCTATTGCTACGCTCTGATTCTTTGGAGCGCAAACGCCCGCTAAAAATCACTATGATATTCCTTTTGTGATTCCACTGGACACTATTAAGCGTAAAGCTAAGAGATTACGAAAGTCTGGCATACCGGCACTCTCATGTTGCTACTGCAAGAAGAAAAGTTGCTAGTGGGGTGCATGCGTATCACGGGCAGCAGAAACGCAGCACCTGCGGCAGTGCCCGCTGAGGCAAGCTTGACTTGACGCCTCTGCCTCTCTTGTCTTCGAAGCTCAGGCTCGCTCATCAAAAGATCATTCCTGACTGCAAGGGGGGCAGCGGGAAGCACCCGGCCTCCGTGGGAAGGCTCCCCACAGGGGCGCTCCCCGGATGGAATGCACCGCAGAAAGCTTGTGGCGGAGGAGGAAGTGATGACATCCCCAAAGGCGCAGCTCCACAGTGCATGTTGGGGGGAGTTCCTCCGCCGGCGACTACGGGGACGCCTTCTCGCAGAGGCTGCATGGTGTTTGAAACGCCATCAGTGCTGGGCTGACGAGCTTTCCAGAGACCCCTCTGGCAAGAAACGGAGCGATCGCCTCCGTTTGAACGCCCAGGAAACACACGAGGGCATGTACAGACAGGAACGCCAACGGAGAGAGGGCGTGCTCCGGCGGGGGAGCAGCAGCGTCGGCTGGGGCCATACCTTCCGGGTGTCGGTTTTCTACGTCTGAGATTCAACTTGGCATGAAGTTTCAAGTAGTCGTCGTTGATGTGAAGGGGCAGCGAATGGGCATGATCATAAGTCTGCCGAACTCTGTTCTTGAGGTAATCGTCTGCCTCCGGGTTCACGTCGTTTGGCCGCACAGGGAATGCTTCTCGGTGCTTGGGGATGCGCTGTAGTTGCTGGTGCTGCAGCTCCCTGCGCAGCTTCTGTTGCAGCTTCTGTTGCAGCTGCCGTGGCTCCCGATCATCTGGGCGCTGCTGCAGGCGTAACAAGGGACGGGGGAGGCTACGCTTGAGCTGCTGGTCCCAGTATTTTTGCTGCCGTTGCTGGTCAGCTCCACAGCAGTCGAGGGAGAGTAAGGGATAGTGCGCGAAACGCACGTCGTCGTCGATAAGGTCCCAGTCCGTTGCGAGGAGAACATTCCCACGGATATTCAGCTTACCCTGCACTGTCGATGGCGAGGATTCTGCGGGTTCTTCCGCGGCTTCCTCAGCCTTTGGCTCCAAGTCGCACTGGACCGCAGCAACCTTTCTAGGCACTTTCTTCCTCCTCCCCAGTGCGTTATGAGCAGCAGCACGAAGGGCGGCAATGGCAGCATCTACCGCTGAGGACTCGGAGTCGAGTTCAGAAGACGCACCGAAACGATGCAAACGGCCGCAGCAGGAGGTGTGGGAATGACTCCTCATCTCCCCAGATGTATTGGTCCTGGTGAGTGGTGGTGTAGCGAAGGCGAGACGCTGGCGACAACGAGTAAATAGAGACGAGGACGGCTGGAGAGCGGACAGGAGATGCAGCTCGCATGTGTGCAGTGGCCTAGGCTGTGCAAAGTAGCGCAGCAGCAGCCCCAGCAGATCAAGCACAATTTGAGAAAAGAGGTAGCAGAAGGAGACTGCCCTGCGCTCTTTGCGCGGGACTGCCGAGAGGGAACATTGATATCGATGATGCCTCTCCCCCTGCCTACCTCGTTCGGCGCTGGTTCTCTTCCGCCTTCCCGAGGGAGCTCCACCACAGCAGCAGCTCAAGAAAAGAAAGGAGCCTTTAGCAGGCAGTGTGACGATGTCTGTTAACAGAAGCCCCAAATTTAAGAGCGGGGCGGTTTTCGAGTCCACATCCGTCCACAAGCGGCTCAACCGGCAATCCGCTGGCGTTGCCGACTGCAAGCGGGATGAGGAGCAGCAAGGAGGGAATTGCAGGAATAACAGCAAATGAGAGAATAAAGAAAGCCCAATAAATCAAACGGAATTCAGAAGGAACCGAGGACGATAACTTACTTCACGACAAACCAGCCAATTCGAAAGAGGAAGCTGTGGCTACAATTCTGCGAGGACGGGGGCTGCTCGTGCGACTCTAGAGAAAACAAAAGTTGAATCTGTGATCAGGCTCATCAAACGAGTACATTCACTAAAAATTTAGCTGCACGCATGGGAAGGGTTTGCAATAAATCAAAAACGTGGCGAACACCAGGAACCGAGATGCTCATGCACTCGCCGATGCCAGTACCAGACCACTGAACTCCCGAGTTATCCCTCTATGCATCCACGTAAAACAACGAGATGGAAATGGGCGGTCTTTTTCGACTACCATTATACAGCGCGGATCCAAAATTGGTTACTCTAGCCTTCTTCACTCCTAAAGCCGCTGGCCATCAGTCTTCCACGAAAAGTCGTAAGCGGAAGTAAACTCCGCTGTCGAGCATGCCGTGGCTGTGGCCGCCAGAGACAGACCTCACGAAATAAATGCAACAGTCTCTGTGAAGTTGAACAACCCACTAGGCTGCGACGGGAGTGCTGCAGCTGCTGTGGTTCCCCGGGGTGTTGCTACACAAAGTTTTGTTGATTTTTCTGCCCGCAAGCCAATAGCGTACATAGTGCTACTTATGCGCAAGTTGAACTTTGTAGCTTTCGACTTGTGATGGCAACTCCCGGGGGGCTGCGCCCCTAATGTCGGAGGGCGGATGCAGCGGCGAACAGTTCTGGGAAACGGTGCCTCGGCCCTTTTGTATCTAAAGCGCAGCGGGGGAAGAATAATGCGCAACAGCAACCACTTGGTTCTGTTTCGCTATACCAAGCCTCTCTATGCGAACGTACACTACAGTGTGATATGCCTTATCTGTACCTGTCTGCTGTGGTGCCTACGCGTTAAATGGAATGGAATGCTTTTCCCCGGGGATTCCGCGACATGAAAATATTAGCCCAAAGACAAACTCAACAATAAATCCCGAGCAGAACCAGGGTTACTTGCCTGTGCTGCTGCAGTACCGCCAGCAGGAGGAGCCCGCCAAAGAGGAAAAGGCTGAGCAGTTTGACTATGAAGAAAGTTCACTGCGCAATGCAGTATCCGTCCGCTGCTCTACGCCTTCCCGAGTTTGCATCTTGCCTCCCTTGTTAAAAGGCCTTCTCTAAAAACGACCTATAGCTGGTGCCGCTAAGACCTTCCTATACCGTACTACGTTTCTCCTTAGAAAGCGAGTACCGTCTCCGAAAGAGCAATGTAGGTGTGCTCCGGAAATGCCACGGAAACGCTGGACACGGCAGACGCTGTGTGTGTGTATTTTTAACTGCATAATGAGCGTTGCTAGAAGCACAATTTCTGTTTAGACGCAGTGCAAGTAGGCCACGAGCACCCTTTACCTGAGCAACGCAGCCTAAGCGAGTGCCAAAAACAATTTTCCCCGCAACTGCGTGAATTCCAGGCGCCCTACGGGATCGAAAGTCTCCTGTACAGAGGGCGCAGGGCGATAACACATCGAATGAGTCCGAATTAGAGACAAGCAAGCACGGTTCACACTTTCTCCCACTTGGCTTCCGTGTCTCTCCGGGCCGGTTGTCTACACACGTAAAGCTCAGTTGCCTGCAGCTGTGCCTGTTCCTCCTGCACTGCGGCAAGTCCTTTTCTTTTCCTTTTGGCAGCCGCAGTGAAAGGCTGCGGCACGGTTCCCCTTTTCTTTCTCTGCCAGCGCTCTTCAATCCTGCGTTCCCTTGCTGCACGGGCGCCTTCTAGGGACCCCCAAATCTGCACTGCTAAATCTTCGACCTCCTTTGCGTCGTACAGCCTCATGGGTCTGAAAGAGCTGCTGTGGGGGTTAGGCTGCTCCCGCACCGTCAGGCGGCCAGCCGCTGCTTCCTGTCTGAGCAGCTGTTCGCTGAGACAAAACAAGGCTGCTGCTTGCTGCTGAGAGTAGCAAGTGGCGGGTTTGGAAGCTTGCTCGCTCCGACGCGCTCCTGCACCGCTCAAACTGCCGCCGAGCAACGAAGTGTATGCAGCAGCGTCAACGGGGACTGCGGGGGGATGGCTGCACCTTGTTCCCCCGCCGTTCGCTCCGGGAAGAGATGCTGGAAAACTGCAATCTCGACCCTCATCAGCAGCCTCCAAGTCTTCGAACAAGGTGGCGAGCTCCTGGGAATCCAAAGGACACCCTGAGTCTCCTTGCAGATGCAACGCGGCAGTTTGGTGGGTGTCGAGTGCAGCGTCTAGGGAATGCTCTGGGTGGCTGCACTCGGCTGCGTCTAAAGTGGATTGCAGGCGCTCGTGCGCAGCTCGAAAGTTGGCAGACGCGGATCTTAGCTGTGGGCTTGTTGCCGTTCTGTGCCTTTTAACTTCTGGAGCGGACTTTTCAGTTTCATTTTCCTCTTCCCTGCCAGCTGCGGCTGCTCGTTCTTGGTGCTCTTGCAGCCCGGTTGGCTGCTGTTTTTCCTCTGAATCTTCTAAAAGGAAGCCTCCAGAGGAGAGGGCGGCCTCTTCTACGAACTCCGTTTGCGGTCTGTCGCTTGAGGCAGAGTGCGTGCACCGCAATTCCTCGGCAGCTAGCAGAGGGGCGGTGGCGTGCTTCTGGTCAGCTTCTGTACCTCCTGAACACTTGGACCTGTCCAAATGAGGAGGATCGGGGAAGCATGCTGTCGAAGAAGGCGATAGCTCCTCTTCGCCAAAGCAGGTAGCTGCTGCACCACTAGCGCTCTCTATAACACCAGGTTGCGCAGGAGGCATCGCTTTATCATGCAACTTCTAAAAAAAACAAACCACAACAAATCCCTTGGCTTAGGCACCAGTCCGCCATCTGTTTCCTGGCCTGTACAGGTTTACAACTCCCTTTGGCGCGGGGGAGTCTCGGGATGGGGCCGAATAATTAACAGAAAAGCTCTATTCATTGAAACGACAAGAAGGGCACTTCATCGCCACTGGCTTTCTCTTGTTCTATTAAGTAATCGATTGAACTTCCACACATCTGCATGCATGCAATGGCCCCAAAAATGAAGGAATAGTAGTTGCTAACAGATTCTTCCGCAGACTAAGTTTTTACTGGGAAATTTCGATTTCGTTTCCGAAGTTGATCATTTTTCAGGGGAGACAGAGGAAGGCAGTGTAAACCGAGTTTTCCGAAACGATCGCCCCTGCCTGCGGCTCGTGCCTTGCCGAGCGCTAGTAAAACGGAGACCAGCAAAGCAAGGGTAAACAGCTGCTTGAACGACCTCATCAAGCACTTCTACTGCGATGCCTGCCCATCTGGACGCCGTTGGGCTTCCCTCTTCCTCAAAGGACCTCAGGCTGTCTGAACGGACGGCCTATTGAAAGTACATGTTTTTCCCCAAGCAGCAGTTCAAATGAAACCTGCGGACGGCGGCATCTTCCGCTCAGGTCCTTTTCCACTCTGCTCACGATTTCAGCGCTCGCTGCGGCAGCACGAAGGGCAGCAGCAGCGTCAACCACAGCAGACACCCTGATGAAAGAGGTGTGCTTTGCTGCACGTCCGCAGAAGCTCGCATTGCTAAGACCTCATTGTATTTTGCAGCGGCCGTGGTCTTCTTTTTTCTTTTGCACGCACGCTTAGCGCCATGTTGCCGTTTCAGCTCCGAAAAGCGGTGGACGCCGCCAACCAAACGGCGCAGCAGCAATTGCAACAGCGTGAGCCGGATGGAGGCATGTCTACTCAGGAGTACAGCCGGCTTGCCGAGCTGCAGAAGCAACGAGCTCACTTGGAAATGCGGCAGTTGCAGGTGGGCTTCGCAGACATCGCATCTCGGAAGCACGAAAATGAGTGCCTTTGAAAGCGCCAAGTTGTTCGTGCCGTCGCATTGTGCCATGTTTCGCTCGCCTACTCTGCTGCACGCAACGCGCCTGGAGCGAACCCGAGAAGTCTTATTTGGACGCACCCTGAAGTGCAGCCATCATTGTCGTGCCCCAGGCATCCTGTGTGAAACACCCCGCGCGAAACGCGCGATAAAAACACACCGTTCGCTCCCGGGTTGAGCCATCTCTGCCGCGAGGCACTTGTACGCAGAGCAGAAACTCTCACGCCTGAGTGCACCTCCTGGCACGCCTCTTTCTCCGTTTCAAACTGCACCCTTTTCGCTATGCAGGCCCAGGCTGGACTGCTGACGAGAACCCAAGCGCAGGTGGCTGCCGCAGGTCTTGAGTGGCTGTACGACGATCCTAAGAATAGCGCCGAGGCGAAAGACAGAGAAAGGGTGCGTGCTGTGTGCGGTGTAACGACAGCACCAGAGAGGGGTGGTTCCGAAGGGCAGGTCCATGGGGGCAGCCTCAACAAGGCTGGAAGCGGCGCGCCGGAGTTGTGCAACGGTGCAGGTTGGGGACGTTGGCACGTGCAGGAAGTTTCAGTTTTGTAGAGGGTGTGGCGGTGTGCGTGTCTTGCATGTGTTTGCTCAGGAGGCGTATCTGCTGGGAAAGCCGTTGCCAGACGCGGCGCCCAAAGCGGATGAATCTCTGGAGAAGCGCGTTGCTGAATCCGCGACAAGTTCGTCGTAGTCGCGCTTCATGCCGTGTCACTTGCAGCTTCTCCCACTCTGCATGTGTGCCTATCGCTCGATGTTTTTCTCCCGGTGCTGTGGAGGGTCGCATGTACGGTGTTTTGATGCCGCTCGTTCACGAGGCGGGGCGTTCGGGTGTATCCTTGTTTCACAACCAGCCGCTTCTGCACGCTGGCTCCTAGTGAAGGCGAAATTACTCCTCTGAGGAGAGCCATTGAGCGCGCGTTGTCACCACATTTCCTTGCGCCGCCCTCCCCTTTCCTGAGACGGTGCTCGACGGACAAGCAAGGGGCCCCCAAGGGAAGACATCACGCAAAGAAACACAAGACTCATCTCTCTGTCTGCATTTTTTTCTGCGCATCGTCTGCCGTTTGTCTGCAGAGGCACCGCCGCGGCTGCTCCCCACGCAGGACTGTATGCGCAAACTCCGAGAAGACCCCTTACTGCTCATTCGACAAGCTGAGCTCGCTCAGCAACAAGTCCAGGTAGGGCTGCTCTGCTGGTGGTTCAAGCCATCAAAAGACGAACACTGTTGCAATACCGCCACCTTTTCTGTGACGTCAGACGTTGCCTTCTTCTCCTTTCCGTGCGGCGGTGGGATCTGCCATCTACGCTTCCGAGGGAAAAATACATTACTACGCACATGTATGTGTGTGTGTGTGTGTGTAAACGTGTGCCTTCTTCGTATTCGCCGCATCTGCTACTTCAATGCCGCTCTTTTATGATTTCTGTATTCTTCTTGTGCCCTCGCCGTTTTGGAGTGCTTCTGTTTGTTTGGTGTGAAGATGGCTGTTTGACGTGCGGCGCCCTTCGGCCCCCCCTCTTCCCGCAGCCACGGAAAGGCCGCAGGTGCAGAGCACCTGTTTCGCAGCTTTAATTTGTTTGCAGGAGTCCAACCCCTTGCTGCAGCTGCAGCAGATGCGCACACAAGCGACAAGTGCCGGCGCACGGGTTAAGCACCAGGACCCCAAAAAGGAAGCTAAGAAGAAGAAGCATAAGCACAAAAAGCGGCACAAGCACGGCAAGCGCAAACGCAGTAGGAGTAGTGACAGCAGCAGTAGTCGCAGCACTGAGAGCGAAAGGGAGCAGCGCGACGCGCGGTATGGAGGCCGACGAGAACGCGAGGCGAAGACATGCAAAGGAGAAGCGCCTCGATGTGAAACTCACAGCCGCAAGGAGAGGTCTCGGAGTCGAGATGGAGGACGGCACAGCTCTGCGCTGCGCTCTTCTAGAGATGCCATTGGGGAGGAGCACACGGCTGGACGTCGAAGGCACAACAGCAGCCGCAGCAGCAGTACTTATAGGCGTCCTAGTAGTCCCACCAGGCGACGCAAAGAGGGTGAGTCTCGAGAAGGAGAGCAGCGTCAGTGTAGCAACTATGGGCGAGCTCTCACTCCCCAGACGTTCTCCGATGCAGCTAGCAGCAGCAGTGTGCCTTCGCGCACTTACGGCCCCACAATGGTTGGTGCGGGGAGCGAGCCGGCTCCCTTTCGGGTGTCTGATGAGCTGCTGCCGCCTCTGGCCATTCGGCAGAAGGCTATGGCCTTGGAAGAAGCAAAGCGAAACAAATCCGCTATTCGGGAAGCCGTGCAAGGCGAAATGAAGACGGCAGGGTACCAGAGAGACTCGGATGAGAGGGGAAAGAGTGCGGAGCAGCTGCTGGAAGAAATGAGGGCAGAAGGGCTGCGGTAAGGCTTAAAGGCGTAGAAGGCGTAGCGTGCAGGCACAGGCCTGGAGGAGAGGGATACGTTTGTCGGATTCGAAAGTCAGATTGGAGTGCTCAGAGGCACAGACGCAGCTCATAGCTCTCTTGTGGGGTTTTTCCTTGCGCTGCAGCCGCGAAGCAGAAAAGGAGCGCCGCTCAGAACTGGTCCGCATGAAAGATCAACTAGAAGCAAGAATTGAGGCTCAACGACGGGCACTCTTGGATGTACGTCTTCGAAGAAGCTTCCATGTTTATTTATGTCGCCCTGTTTGATTCTTCTTTCACCATGTATTTTCTCTTCTCATCCTCTTGTACATGTTGCCTGCTTTGACTCTTGTCCATAACGGGGGATGGCAGTTTGCTAGGGGCCCAGGGATGCGTGTAAAGTGGGAAATTGTAAGAGTGCGTGTAGTAGTTGGATGCTTTGTAGGTTGGTCTTCCTTCGGATATGATCTGCCAGCTAGATCGTCTTACTGAACGGGGAATAATGATCCTTCCTCTCTGGTCTAATGCTTGTGCGATTTCTACTTTGCATGCCGGGGACTTGCAATGCGAACGTATGCTCATTAGTTGCTCTTTGGGCTTCTGTTTTTTGTTGCACTGATGCAGTCTTCGGATGAAACGAGAGGTCTTCGTCCTTCTGTGGTCGCTGCATCTGCTGTCGAACCTTCCAGAGATGCAGCGATGAAATATCGGAGGATGCAAAAAGCCATTCACGATTTAGGAGCCTCTAACAAAGAGCTAAAGTAGCCCTTTGTCGAAAGTGGCCTCCTGCTTGCTCCTTTCTGCTCTTGTCCCTGTCTTTTCTTGTCTCGCTGTTGGCTGCGACGGTACTTCAACAACCGCAGGAACACTGCGATCCCTTGCTTCTTACGTTCGCATCCGCTCTGCGTTTTTCCCCTTTCCCCGCCACATTCCTTATGTTCTGCCTCTCTAGTAAGGAAGCTGTAGCAAAGCGCCTAGATGGTATTTAAGGGGGCAGGGATTGATCATCTGCTGAAGTAGTGGGTGGGCCTTCCAGGTGGCCAGACAGCCAGGTACAGCCTCATGCGACGGGCACGAATTGCATTTGGCGCGTGGCGCGACCAAACACTGAAGCTTAATTCAGAGGCATGAATACGAGAGACAAAAGGAGTGTGGACAGGAGAGAGGGAAATTTCATGAATTAGAACAGTGAAAAGAAATAAGCAAAACAGGCAACATAGAATGGCTTACGTGAGATTCTAGAATGTGGTGAGTAAGCGGCGCAAAAGGCTCGCAATAGAATCAAGAGCGTGTGTCAGCCTCTCGGGGTGTGATGAGGCCTTCGTAGCAAGCCATACCAAGGGAGTTTATCCTCTGGCGGACATGCGGCTGGCAAAGGATTTTGATAAGCTAACCAGAGGGACGGTAGACGGAAGAAGAAAACAGGACCCAAAGATGTTCCGGATCAGATTAGAATTCTAAATGTTTTCTTGTCTTACGCGAGACTGCGAAGTAGAACTTGTATGTCAGTTTCTCGGGGCATGGTGACGCCTTCTTAGCAAGCTATGCCAAGAAATTATATTCACCGGCGAATATGCTGCTGGCGAGTGAAAAAGGCTTGTTACTGTCGGATGGGCCACACAAGGTAGCGCGGATTCTCCCGGTTTGTTGCCCCTTGCTAGACTATCATTTGTTGCCCATTTGGTGTAACGTTCAAAATGGTCAAGGGACATAAAGAGCAAGTACAAGGCAGGGTGTTTGCTATCGCCACTGGCCGCACTATTTGCACAGACTCGTAGCACCGTTGCTGCTGGTGCTTTTGTTGGCATTACTCTTTGTTCTCGGAGCTCTTACATGCTTTCATTTCTTTTGTTTACGACTGTTTGCTGGCGCAAACTTCGCACCGTCTTTCTCTAACTGTCGGTGAGGCTGCTTGCTGGCACCTTTTCTTCAGGCTGGATTCCTTCCTTTATTCCCCAGCTAAATAAATCCTCCATTATATTCTATACAAGATCATGCGGGCTATGCATTGTTCCTTTTTCTCTCCTGCATCAAACTACGACTCGAGGTCTTTTAAAACTGCATCAAACCCAGGAACGATGCTTTTGGGGCACAGGTAGATTTATTCAAGCTCGCTATCAGTGATGCCAGGAGGCCCAATTGTAATAATGCTGCGCCGCGAATTTCTTCGACGTGCTGAGGAGATTTGTGGGGTCAAATCGCACTGGCAGGCAAGGAGAGCAAGTGCTAGCAACATCTACAGGAGACAGCGTAAGAAAAATCACGCGAAGCCTCTCGATGCCGACGTAATTAAGAGCGCACAAAACTGCACAGCGCAACTGGAAGAGCAACATTTGGAGAACTTGATGGACAGAGCCGGAGAGTGATTGGGAGGGAAAACACTACGCAGAACGTAGTGAAGAAAAGGTAATGGAATTGGCTGGTGAAGTTGAGGCTAAAAAATGTCTGCAAATAAACCTGCCACTTACCCGCTTTCCCTGTAAATAATTTTTGACAGCCTCTGCAACCAAGGCACGATACTGGTGGAGTTATGAGCAGCTTGCCATACATCCTCAAACACATTTGACATTCTGGTGCTTGCTTTTCCTTTTGTCACCAAGTCCCAGGTTCAGGGGACAGGAAGATAGGGCTTTCTGAGGTTGCCTTCTTCCACCCCTTTGTACCTTTCGATTCGTTAGCTTATCCCTGTAGAGGGAAGAGGGTAGAAGGGCAACTTACCGCTGTTCATCTCACCAGTCATTGAAAACTACACTACAGAGCCAAACGACGAAACGAAGGAAGACGCACAGCACTGCAGGAAGAAATAATGGAGCACGAATTCTTGTGAACGGATAGTGGTGGGCTGGATATAAGATAGCTTTAATGCTTGTGCAAATCTTGTTTCTGTTTTTCGTGAGTGTCATAGTCTAACGAAACCCTCAAGGCCTTCATTGTCCTGCCCCGGCGTAGCCTGATCGTCGAGAGTGGCTCTTTTCTATGTGCACTGTTTGTCACGAAGTAGTGCTAGAGCAGGCGCGCAAAATTGAAGGGCTTCAGAAAGAGATATAGGGAAAGGAGACAATGCACAGAAATACTACCTCAGAAGATACACCAGCACAAAAAACCGACAGAGAAGCAGCAGCATCAACGACTGCCATAGATGACTCTGGGTTACGTAAGTTCTAAGCACTTTCATGTAGAAAAAGCTCGTTATCTCCTCAGCTTCTGTGCTCCAGCCCCTTTCTTTCGCAGATGTGTGCTTTCCTACTTGCTCCTCAGGTGCTCATGCTCAACCCCTTGAGCCCCATGCACACTCTAGCCAGGCGAATGCCACAATACACGGCTACTGGAAACGACGCGGCTTCTAAAAAATTCGTAAGCAGGGCAGGATGCCGGAATGGAGAAAGCACAGCATACTAAAAACGATGGCAAGGAGTGGCTTGTGTATACTACAGTGTTCCGTTTCATCCTACGGAAATATCTGGTGAGTTCCGGTCAAAATTAGTTGAATGCTAGACATTGGGCTTCCCTAGACGTGAGTAGCGGCCTATTTCCGCTCGATTCTATCACCGCCTTGTCGGTTGTCAGCGCTCCTACCCAGTCAGCTTCATCGAGTGCCCGCATCGGGTGTATTACAGGAGGAACTGCAAACATGTGTGCTTGATAGTCCGAAATCAACGAAAAGCTCTGCGAAACCCCAGAATCATGGATGCTATTGAGCAAATAGAGATGGAAAGGGACCCTAAATGTCAGGTTTGCCGCTGCCCCCCCTTCTTCAATCAACGCAGACACGACCTCCAGCCCATATCCACAGATCGATAACGGGATGGAGAGAAACCGAACAGCTCACCCCATTATCTGATGTTCTGGATTAATTCAAGTGATCAATTATGCACATAGAACCACTAGCGTCTTTACTCGTTCATTTTCCATGTCACATCTTATGGAGGAGTCGCTGGTGTGCTGTCGGGCAGTACGGCCGATCACAGTCCACCCCTGCAAGAGCATTGCGAATACGAGAGAATGTTTACTGATTTAGAATTTTGGACAGTTAATAGTTTATTTCGAAGCTTATTAGGCTTAGTGCTTGAATTCCTGCCACCTTCGCTTACATACAGCCATGGTACCTGGCATGCAACACACGAAATTTGCCGAGTACAGACGACCAGCCGCCTTTCTACCAGTTCTGTTCTCCAATTTATAGCCAGCTCTTCCTTCTGAACCAATAGTGCAGAGGTAAGGGGTTAGAAAAGTGGTGTATTATCTCCTCTAGCCGAAATGGTGTGCGGTGTGCACACTCATGATTTGAGTTGCTGTGGGAAACTGACGAATCTCAAAAGAGCCCGTCAGGGTCCGTTCAGAGGGTTTTGCAGCCGATAGTTGCCTACGTTGGTAGCAGAAACATTAGCTCGAGGAACTTAGATATACCCGTATTCGACTGTAGGGGGGACAATGCCGCACGAATTGGCTCTCGGTGTGCAATATACGCGTCAACAAAAGCAGCGAATATTTAAATTCGTCTTTGACTAGTTCGTTGCAGGCCTCAAAGCCACACTCAAGAACAAATAAGCACCTAACCGGAGACAGCAGAACGAAGGCAAAGGATGAAGGCAGTATTGCCCGCCGAAGCAACGTGTCGAGGTACACACCAGGCCCATAAGGATGGGTGAGAACGGCTCGAGATGGCTTAAATAATGGCCTTTAAGATATTCGGTGTACATGATTTCCGGACTGTAGTGCGTATGGGCTATATCCGGCTCCACGCAACTGTGCGTGGGCCTAGGTATGCACTGATTGTTCTGCAAGAAGCGAATGAGCTCCGTCTGTCCTGTGTGGAACTTCCGCACCTCGCCTTCCTTTTCATCCTGGCGTCCCCGCGTGATGAATTACAGCAGCCCGGCTGTCTATACAGCTGCAGCGGTGAGGGCCTTCTCTGTGGCCCTGGCCTCAGCAGCGGCACGCAAAGTCGCCAATGTGTGCATACACCTCATGTTGAATGCAGCAGCAACAGCTCCGCAGCAGCCGCCAACAAGAACCCGCAAAGGAACAGAAGCAAACAAGGCCTTAAAACCGCCAGACACTGCGGCCTCATGCAAAGCGCGAGCAATGCCGATTACGCCTGGAGAAAACACAAGGCAGCATCGACAAAAAGTACATGCTGGGCGAGGAGAAGCAAAAAGACGCAGCAGTAAACTGGTGGATGAATGCATTCGTGCATATGGATTCGCGCGGCCTAATGAAACATCCGATATTTGTTGTTCGGGCGGGAGCCGCTTTTCCTGACACAACGTCAATACTCCCTCACCAGAGAAGCGCTTGGATCCTTCGAGATCTGCTGCAGCCTGACGCACAACAAGTGCCCTGGCTGCGTCCATAGGAGATGCAGCAATTCCTGCGAGGCTCGAGCTCAAACCACCAATCAAAGCTGCCTCCGCGTATTGGGCAGCCCTGCAGTAACGACAACGGCAGAAAACGCGGCCCATCCTGTGTAAAAAGGCCGAGTAAGAAAAAAAGATGAGGATATTCCTAAACCAAGCAAACAAGCGTTAAGAGAGCTGCTAGAAACACAAGAAGAATAGGATTTTGAAGCGTCCTAAGAAAGCGCATGTTGTGCGGCCATTCGTGGCCCTCACATCGAAAAGCGGGTTTCCATGACTAGCGTCTGTCTTAGCTTAGTACTATCCGATTAAATACTGACACTCTAGGCACGCAGAAACCACTTTGTGGATGTACCTTGGTGCAGCAGCTGCAGCAGCTCCCGCGGATAAGCTGCTGCAGTGCTCGCCTTCTTCGGTCGCCTTCGCTGCTGTCCGAAACAACGGCTGCTGCGCCGTCAAACCTGCGACTTTTTCCCGCAAACATCTGCAAAGCCCCCATAAAGAGGCACTTTTGCTTGTGCTTCTGTCCGCACTAGCGGCGTCCTCCATGAGTGGGGCAGTGCCTTTCGAGGCGGGAGCACCCCCCGTGCGCGCTGTCGCACATGCTTGAAGTCTATTGGCGCGATGTTTTA